TTGGGAAAAGAACTAAACATTTGGTTTGTAATTTAAGATTTAAAATAAGCTCCAAATAACTAGGATCTCAACAAATATTCGACGTTTAAATTTGTTTTCACGATGCACAGAAAATGAGGAGTAAAAAATAATTAATCAGTCATCCAATTCAGTCTAATTTAATGTCATATTGCATTGTCATCGGCTCTTGGCCCACGTGCCGATTTTCAGAGAAATTGATCGGTAAGAGGTGCCCGAAATTTCGCTCTCCCGTTTCGATCTAGACAGAGGAAGCAAGTTAAATAAAAGCTTCTAAAAATTACAAACATAATGAGACTTTTGTATTTGTTTTTTTAACTTGTATGACTCGGAATATAGACATGATTTTTAATTACTTAAACTTTTAAAAATAGAATAGAATCTCGTAGAAAAAAGAATTGCGCACCAAGCGAACGCCAAAACAAAATGTGCATAATAGTGCGCAATATTATTAGTACTTTATAAATTTACATGCGTCTTTTGAGAAATCGTAAATCGCGCAAATTAGTACTCCCGGTCGACGGAAATTACTCAAAATTTGACAGAAAGAAGAGAATCAGATCTTTTACTTACATGTGAAATTTCATTTATCTATCTGAAATAGTACTCAAGTTAGTTATAGGCTTTTGAAAAATTCAAAGTAGAAAAAGTACAAGAGTTTCTCTATACTTCGTATATACGAGAAAGTAAAAAATGTAAACTTGACATGAAGCTGACCTGGGTGACAAAAGTAGAATGAAACACAGACTTGTCATACACCCATCGGTGACACTCCTCTGTTGTATTGGCTGAGTGGTGAGTTGAATTCAATTCTGTACTTGAAGAACAAGTTTTGAGCATTAACATGTTGATATAAGTGTACCTGAGTAACAAGTTTAGAATTTAGATCTCTTTCCATAAATGTTTTTTTTTTAAAGTTTAGAATAAAAATATTTTGACGAAATATATTGTACCTTTTTAAAATAAGTTTGAGTATCTTTTTTATCAGGCAACTACTGTTCAGTATCTGTTCCCTATCGCCCCCCCCCCCCCGAGGTTTCAAATGCCCCCCCCCCCCCGATTCAAATGCACGAAAGAAACGCTACCAATCATACACATTAAACTCCTACAGCCATCAACCACGGAAAGACTCTATAAAATCTTGAATACCTTCCAACATGTACCCTACACTCCCCAGATCCCCACCCATTGCTGGCTCCATAAGATGCGTCTATCCCCAGTGTTTCGTTGAGCAAAAAGCGGTGCGCGGCGTTCTGTATAGCGTAGGTGTCGTTCTCCATGCTTGGGATCGCGCATCTGGAGAAGTGAAAAAAATGATTGTGCTAACATAACAAGGGTAGATCCAGTCGTGTACTGTCGACGACTGTCGTGCACTTTTCTTCCTTTACATAAGAGAGTTAAAATGATAACTGCATTAGCGCTTCCATGATTCTTTTTTTTCATGATATACAACGCCTAGGCCTATTTTATGCTATTTTATTTTTTCCATAAACAATGTTTCTTTGAGGCATCTCTTCAGGGGCAACGCCCCTCCCCCGAACTAAATAAAATGTATGTAAAAAAATATGTGCCCCCACCCCCGGATAAATCTCCCCAAAGGTTCGAAAGCCCCCCCCACCCCCTGGAGGAAAAAGTATGAAAGAAACCCTGTCCAGAAATCTTCTCAGTCCTAACTGCGTAAAGTAGGTTCTTTGTATCCTTATGAGATTTCAATTCAAAAGTAGAAACGTATGCAAGTTACCTCTTGATATAGGGCTGGTAAGTAGGTCACCAACCAGTTCTAAGGCTCAATAAAACCTGCATGAGCCATAGAACTGGTTGGTGACCTACTTACCAGCCCTATTATCAGATATGCGCATATTTTAAAAGTTAACTGATATATTTTTATCACACGTGTGAATACATGCAGCGAACGCCCAGTTGAAAAATCACATTCTCGAACATAAGGAATGCGTTTGGATGTCCCATAACATTTTCTCACATTTTCTCTTACGACCATGAATGATACAGCCCAGAGGCGTAGCTAGGGGGGGTACATATGTTCCCGGGCGCCGACCTTAGGGGGCGCCAAAATGGGTTGGAAAAACAAATTAAAATCTAATTTTAGGTGTAAATTGAAAGTTAGAGGGGGTGGGGCGCCGAATTGAAAGTTTGTCCCCGGGCGCCGGGAAAAGTCGCTACGCCTCTCATACAGCCATTCTTTATTGTTACAGATATGTAGCCTCAACGCCCTATGTGCAGGTGTACTAAATAGTTTTACGTCGTGACGTTGGTACCTGTGGTCTGGTACTGCCAGGATAAAGACGGGGATTAAAGTCTGGATCCCCGCCACGATGGCTGGCAGACATGACAGGAAGAAGATCCGCCTCTGGTACGGACCAAACTCTCCCAGCTCCTCCACTAGGTCGTCGTACTTCATGGGGGTAGGTCAAGGCCACGCGTGTTCAGTGACGTGATAGGCGGGTATTCCCGATTAAACCTCTTCTCGGTGAGATAAAATTTTAAAAATAAATGAGATAAAAAAGCAAACTATAATTTTTACAATGTGGTAGGTCTGATAACCTACATTTAAAGATAGAAAGAACAATAAAAAAAATATAAAGAAGGTGGCTGTTTGTATTACCGTACTTCAAATCGATTTTTCGTTTCGCTAATATTAAAACACCAACCTTAATCTTGTAAACTTATTAGATTGTGTAATTGTTAGCCTAAAATACGACTTGGTGTCTTGAGAACAATGTACGTTAATCATTGATTTAAACACTAGAATAAGCTTCTAAGTTCAATTATTTTTTAACAGTGATATTAAATAATATCCACCAATGGCGTAGACAGGAGAGAATTTCAGCAGATAACAGTCCCTTCCCCACTTCACATTAAAATGACAATAGTATCACATCAATGTACAGCGGTTAGAGTCCGTATGCTCGTGATTAGTTCAATACTTTTAGCTTTAAAAATGTGAACATCTTAATTTAAAAGCTAAAAAAATTCTAAAAACATCACCCATGACAAAATCCTGCATACGCCACTGCTAGACATCCTGAGAAAAAAAAATGTGGGTAGGCTAAGCTTACTTAAGAAGATCAGCAAGAAAAGTTTTATCTTGGTGCCTTTTGTCTACTCAAGTTGAACGCGTGTTGATAATAAGGGTTTTGTCGAGGATGATGATGGTGATGTTTATAGCAAAGATGATGGAGGCGCAGAATACGATGATTATTACGATGATAATAGAGATTATAATTACCTAAAACTTACTCTATCATCTTACTTACTTCTAGAAAGAAAATAATATCGTTCACTCAAAACACAAGTGCGTGATTGATTAAAAGCTGCTCCACCAGTCTGTGTTAAAAGCATGTAGGCCTATGGCTTGCTTAGATAGTGCACATTAAATATGATATGGTTCTTTTCTTACAGAAGATATTTTTACTTGGTGATAAATAGAAGATGTTTAGATTAGCCCCGCTAGTATTTCCTTTACTGATTGAGCAATCTAGCTGATTGTAAGCCAAAGATTGTTGACATTCATTAGACACATCGTCTACAACTACCGTAACACTGATAAAAGTTTGATCAAAATACTGAAAATGTAGACTAAATATTTTTTACATTTTTTTTTTTTTGCATCTTTTTAAACCAACAGTTTTTCTTAAAGCTTTTCTTTGTAAATAACTGTAATTCCATGGAAGTTGTAGCTATAAGCTATGAGGTAGGGGCGGATTAAAATTAAATTAAAATTAAATTAGACTCGGGCCTTAGTTGAAGAGTAAGGTGGCCAGCACATTTAAAGTAAGATTTATGCCTTGTAATAAGTCCAGCTGTGAGGGGGGGGGGGGAAGCTGAAGCCTTTTCACAACCCTTCCCCTTTTATCCGTCACTGGCATAAATGTGTAAAGTAACGTTCAATAAAACCATTAAATTTGTGTTGTTGTTTACGTCCACGTGGAGGGGGAGAAGGGCAGTAAGTGTGTGGACTTGGGGAGGAAGGTTAAAAAATTCAAAATTTTTGTGGACGCCATAAATGATTGACCACTCTCCAACGTGGCAAAGCTAAGTGAGACGAAACAATTTTCTATACAGTGGGGGAGGGGAGAAAACTCCAACGAGAATGCACATGTAGGCCTTTAGTTACACTGTGTTGATTTTTAGAACTACCACAAAAGACAAAATGCGGTGTGTGTTTTTTTTATTGCTTTTTTTTCAAAGACTTTTAGAAACGGTATCTTGAATGATTAGAGTTCGATTCCCGGTCAACATTCAGTCGTTTCTTTCAACATCTAACGCTCCATCAACACAAATGAATAGTCCATTGGGTACGACTTGAATCTGGAAAGGAGAGGTTAGCCTTTTTTTACGATATGCTTCTTGTTGGAGGGGAGGTCTTATAAATGTCACACCTCGCATATTTAGCTGTGCAAAAATATAAATTATGTTAGCAATTTTAATTCAGTAAATTGGGATAGTAGTATAGTAGTCTGTCGTCATAGACACTAGAGTTACTTCCAAGCATCTCTTCGGGATGAAGACAGTCTACCACCCCCCCCCCTCCCCGAACAAAATGGAATTTATATAGAAAATATATACTTTTAACAGTATCCGCCCCCTAACTAACAGTTTAGTCCGCCCCCCCCCCCCCCAAAAAAATTACAAGTGCCCCCCCCCCCCCCCCCAGAGAAAAAAGTCTGGAAGAAACAATGTAGACGACGTGTGACAACTGGGGTGTGGGATGGGGGGTAAAAGTCGTCTAAAATAGTAATTTAATTTATGTACGAATCCTTATACTATAAAAATGGTTAATATATAAGCTCTTGTTTTTTAATTTATTCTTCATGGTTCGAAACAAGGTTTAAAAAGAGCAAAAATACGAAAATGTGTACTTTGCATATTTTGTTAAAGGGTGTTAGAAATTTTACAAAAAAAAGTTTGTTCCGGTAATAGTGGGCGTGACCTTGAATACTTAATAGTTTTCATATCCCAGCATTCTTTTGTTATTAATCATTCAAAATGGCGCTGAAGGAAGCAGTCCACGAAAGTAAGTGGAAAATAAAATTAATAAAGCTGTTGTGTTATATTAATTAACCGCTACATAACACTAAAACCTATTTTGAACGAGCACATATTCTTTTAACCAAATAGATTACATCCAGACACCAGTCATATAGACGAATCTGCTCAATAGAAACGTTATTTAGAGGATAGTGTAGAAATGTGTTGGACCAAATTTTTGTAGGCCTAAAAAAATTAAGTTAGATCTAGATCTAGAATCTAGATCTAGATTCTACCAGCCGTAGAAGAAATCATTGCAGAATTAGTATAATTTTTCATTAAAGGATCGCGACGTCACACTCCTGGGTCGACTTGTGTGACAATGGAGGGGGGTGTCTGTCAGAACGTGTCTTATTGAATTGCTCTCTTCGCCTTCGGCCTCTTCCCTACACTTAACAGTGTTAACACTAACAGTGTAACACTTAGTTTACTATTTTTTCCCTGCCGTTTTGTGGTCCAGTCCAAGCTAGATATGGACTACAGAGTAGAGCCTACTTGATGAGATTGAATCTACTATTCCTTGGATGCTACTTTTAACCATTAAGCCTACATGTCATAGAGGGCATGAGTTGAACAATATGAATAGGGTTGTCGGTATCGGCCGAGTTCGCGGTAAAAACATGACCCGAATTCTCCCATTACTTTCTGATACCGGACACACGAGATTTGGTTTTGCATACTAATAAGTTTTTAATTTATGGTAATTAATTAAGTTTAAAAGTTCATTTCCTAATGTTAAATGAAAAGTAGAATGGTTTTCCAGTTGTTTTGATGGCTTAGCGATCTGATTGCATGCTGTCTCTGCTTTGGTCATACCGCTGTATAAAGGTTAACTTCAAATGCGTTAAAAACGCGATTTTTGAAAAGTTTCCATTTAGATAATGAAAGTTTCCACAGCAGATACATCCCATATTTATAGAAATGATATTTATTTTTGGATATTTTAACTTTGACATTAGTAAATACTCATTTGAAAGTAGTCACCGTAAGTAGGTCACGTTGCCCCCATTGACGCCAATGTTATATTTCTTCATCCCGATCTGCCGTCTTTTAGTTTTGATACACTAACAACAGCATTCTTATGTAATGTACAAACAAATCTCCTATTTGTTGCTTTAAAAATATTTTAATATACCTGCTTTCATTTTTTTGAACTCTGGTTCTAGTTTTGCTTGAAGTAAAATTTTGCTGAGTCAGACATAGGATACCTGTCTGTTGCTAATTATACACTTAGAATACACTACACTAGCTGTGTGCTAGCTGTAATTTTAAGTATTCAAGTTCTACTTACCCTTACTTATAGTTATATTTATATGCTGAAAATCAGAATTCATATACAATACACATAAAAACATTGATCTGATAACTTCAGTTCACTTATAACAAAATGGCTTAGGTGGACTCTACTTCACCTGCCCAAAATAATAAGGCAGTTATATACACATCACAGTGTTCAAGTCATTTACTTTACATTTCTGACTATGTAGTTCTTTCATTCACTGTATTTATATAAAACATTGCTTTAGAAACATTTTCATATCTGTGCAGTACAGTTTTATAACAAAATGGCTTAAAATGGACTCTACTTCACCTGCCCACAACAACAAGGCAGTTATATGCACATTACAGTGTCCAATTCATTTACTTTAGATTTCTAACTTTGTAGTTCTTTCATTCACTGTATTTATATAAAAATATTGCTTTAGAAATATTTTCATATTTGCGCAGCACACAGTTCTTTGGGGTTATGGAAGGAAGCCAACACAAAAATATACTTCTGTATTATTTTTATTCATTTCAATAGCATTTACAAGTTCTATATATCATTCTAGTTAAACTCTGCAAATATGAACAAAATCCAACCAAAATTAACCAAACTATACTCATTTATAGATACCCTATGATGACTTGTCACAAATGGCCAATGTTAAAAGAGGGACTTTTACCCACCCCCCACCCCCCCCCCCCCCCCCCCACCCCACAAAAAAATTCATAAAAAAAAACTATTTGGGATAGAAAGAATTTTTTTTCTGTTTTGTTTTCTCCTGATTGAAATCTACAAGAACATATATTTTTTATTTTAATATAATGAAATTTGTGTTTATACCTAAATCCCTAATATGAATACAGCAATTTTGCAGGTTTATCTAGTTTGAACATTGCAGAATAAGAAAACAATTTTGAATAGGCTAGGCCTAATAAAAATTGTCAACTTTATGGAGTCATGTATTGGTGTTCATAGGTGCCCATGAAAATTTATAGAGAATAGGGTATAGGGTAATATTATGTTGTTTGAAAATGTAAAAATGTGTTGAAAACAGAATTGTGTAAACTTTTGATATACAGACAAGTTTAGTTTTAAAATTTGAACATTATATTTTTATTTTTTTTATCCATTACTTAATGAAATTGCCATGGGTTTGTCATCAGAAATAATCAATGAAGTCATCAAGCAGCAAAGAAAGTCTGGAGAATGGAAAGTTTTGGTGGTAGACAGCCTCAGCAAACGGATGATCTCAGCATGTTGCAAGATGCATGAAATCATGTCAGAGGGCATCACTTGTGAGTGGCATTTTAACAGTTTTTCAATATAAATACATAGTACCTAGAGCTTGTTGTTTACATTATATTTATAGAATCTGCTTTATAGTACTGGTATGATAACTACACAAATTAAAGTATTAATATCAAAACACAGCTATCAGTTAAGTTTATGCATTGGTGGGTTTGAGAGTTTCTTTGTAAATAAATTAAGCTTAAACTTTTAACCCACACCACTTTAACAAAGATGCTTTAATTAAGAATATTTTTTTAATTGTGAAATTTTGCCATATATGTTGGAGGTCATGTAATTAGGATTTATCCAATATGTTTTGCTGTTTTATATTATTTTTATTTATTAACTATACATTTATTGTTTATTTAGTGGTGGAGGATATTAATAAGAGAAGGGAACCCCTGCCACTTCTAGAAGCTATTTACTTGATTACACCAATTGATAAGGTAAAAAGTTGTATTTAGCTATTACAGTTTTTAAAAAATACACATTCAATTTTTTAAATTAAATATTTTAGTACAATGTGTTGTATCTTGTTAGTTTTATTTTAAATTCAAGCAAATTATTAAATGTAATGTAAAGAAAAAAAATTTCTGTTTGTCAATTTAGTCTATAAAAGCAATGATTACAGACTTTCAAAATCCGAACAGTACACAATACAAAGCAGCCCATGTGTACTTCACTGAAGGTATAACTTTATAATTTTTTTTTTTTACATTAATTTAAATATAAACAATTGATTGAAAAAAAAAAATTCGTATCTATTTATTGCTGAACATCTTGTGTAAATAAAAGACTGGTTTTAAAATAAAAATTCTGTCATTTCATTTCTGCATTACTTAATTTTCTCTTATTAAATAATCCATTGGTCTGGCTTTTAAAAAATGTTATTAATGTGATCTAATGTGTAGATAGTCTCATTTCAATAATCACTATCTTCTAATTTCAGCATGCCCTGATGAGTCATTTAATGAGCTATGCAAATCTACAAGTGCAAAGTTTATCAAAACGTTGAAGGAAATAAACATTGCATTTTTACCTTATGAATCTCAGGTGACTATTTTTTGCTACTGTCCTTTGTGGGGACAAACTATTTGTTATTTCTATTTGATTTCATAAATTAACAAGTTATGTCTCTTAAAATTAATTTTGATCAGGCCTAGGTGTTTAATAACATTTTTTCGTAAAACATTTTTATGTTTATATTAAAATATAAATGTCTTATTTTAAATTAATTTCAATTAGAGATTTAAACATACTTTTCATGGTTGTTTCAGGTTTACTCTTTAGACTCAGCTGAAACCTTTCAGTTTTACTACAACCCAAACAAATCTTCAGGTCGAACAATTAACCTAGAGAGATGTGCGGAGCAGATAGCTACCTTGTGTGCAACACTGGGAGAGTACCCCGCTGTCAGATATAGATCGTAAGCTTTTATTTATTTATTTTTATTACTGTTTTAATGTCAAGTTAGTTTCATTCTTGGGTTAACCTACTGTAATGAATCCATTTAATGGCTACAGTTAGGGTAGGGTGGTCAGTATTAGGATTTAGTTTCAGATGCTCACTTTGTTGGACATGCAGTTTTAAGCTATGATTCAAACTCTAGTTTGTTTTTTGTTGTTGTTTTTTTTTTTTTTTTCGTTAAGAAATGTTGTTCTATCATACTACCATGCCATCTCTAATCAATGGTGAAACTGAGATTTTTCTTTTTTCTTGTGGTGCATGTTCCATACCAGTATCTGGCAATGCCACAATAATGGAAACTTAACTAAAAGACAGGGTGTTGGGTTACTAGTAGTAAACTATAAAATTATAGACCTTTCTAAAGTCAATGCTAGCTGAAACCTATTGAGGTGCCTAACCCTAATTTTTTTGCCCTAACATTAAACCTGATAGTACCATACTACTGACAACCCTAACACTAGTTCTTTAGTACAACTGTCAGACTTAGGTAAAGGGGAAATCCTAGATTTCTCATTGTATGGGGCGGCGTGGTCTAGCAGTAGAGAGCTAGACTGCTAACCCAGAGTCCCGAGTTTGAATCCAGGTTCAAATCAGTGGAACGTCCCTGAGTCCACCCAGTTCTGATGGCTACCTAATTTGCTTAGGGAAAAGGGGACGGCGTGGTCGAGTCGGTAAAGCTCATGGTTGCTAAACCGAAAAGTCTCGAGTTCGAACCCTCGGGCAGATGAGGCTCATTAGCTGGGGACAGCCACTCTTCTAGGAGAGACAACTCCAAAATCAAACAACTGCTGCCTTGTAGTTTGTTCTTGGTTGGACAAAGGCTATGGAAGCAAATCCAAAAAGAAAAGCAGGCTGAAATCGGAGTCAATGGCCTCAATGGCGCATAACCAGTTGACACGTAACGCTTAATTGTGTTGAAGGCGTGGTCGAGTCGGCAAAAAGCTCATGGTTGATAAATTCGAACAGTCTCGAGTTCAAACCCACTGGTAGATAAATCTCGATCCCCTTCAACACTAATAATTAAGAACGAAGAAGAAGAAGAAGCTTAGGGAAACAAAGTCGGCTGGGCACAGTACTGACCACACTATCCCTTCTTCTGACAAAGTCAATGAATCAGATGAACTCTACTTAATCTGCCCCATGTGTCGTGGGCACAAACGGGATTAAGAAGAAGAAGATTTGTCATTGTGGATTTTTCCTATGTGTAATTTTTGTTCACAGAGATTATGACCGCAATGCAGAATTCGCCCAGCTTGTCCAACAGAAGCTGGATGCCTATAGGGCTGATGATCATACAATGGGAGAGGTAAATATTTTCAATTCTTATCCATCCACTGACATTTCTATTGTAGTAGAAGTTATTGATATGAATCTCCAAATGTTAGTTTTCTTGCTGAAGGATCATATTCAGCTGAATGGCTAATCAACAAGTACTTTAACTGATGTAGTCTAAGTACTCAGTATTTAAATTACAATCAATTTGCATAAAAATTAAATTATGTGTTGGTTTTTTCCTCAAGATCTGCTTTTATTTTTAATTTCAAATATATTTTCAAAATAAAAATTGTTGCACTTTAATTATTATATGTACGTGTTTCAATTATATTTTTTCTGATATTCTCCTAGTCAATTTTTAGTAATGGTTATTTACTTATACAGCTGATAATGTTTACTTCAGGGTCCTCAGAAAGATCGCTCCATGCTGTTGATTCTAGACAGGGGGTTTGATCCTATCTCACCTCTTCTTCACGAGCTGACTTTTCAAGCCATGGCCTATGACCTCCTGCCTATTGAAAACGATGTCTACAAGTAATTGTTGTTTTTAATTTGTTACTGATCTCGCCTAAATGTTTTGGAGAATAATTTTCTTTATAAAATTGTTTTTGCAACAGTAGTTTTTATTGCTAAAAATAGATTTCTTCTTACATGTTCACGTCTATAATTTATAAGTCTTTTATAAATGGATTTTATCTTTCAAAACAATATTTTGTTTTTATGTCTTTTAAATCTCTTGAAATAGAATACAGTTTATTTTTCTGAAATATGTTTTTAGATAGTGATAAATGCCGTTTGAAAATTAGAAATTGGGCTTTTGTTTCCCTGATATTTTAGTACAAACATTACTTTATTTCTCTGGTGCAGTATCTTTGTGTAGTTTCTAAAGATGTCACTCTTAAGAAAATACAATGTTTGACATGAGATATTTTTTTATTAAGGTATGAAAACACAAGTGGTAATGAAGTGACAGAGAAGGAGTGTTTGTTGGATGAAAATGATGAGTTGTGGGTGGAGCTAAGGCACCAACACATGGCCATTGTGTCTCAGTAGGTACATTGTATTGTTGATTATAAACAGTGCTGTGTATTTATTAGAGTGTTAGTTTGGCTTGAGACCTTATATCTGTCACCCATGATACCACTGAATCTGAATGCTTGAATCTTAGAACCAATGGCATGTCATTTTCACCTAGTGTGATAGTATTTAAAAAAGAGACAAGTTTTTAACTGAAGCAAAACAATATATAGACCAACTGTTTATGAATTGGATTTATTGGCATAAAATTCAACCTCTGATATGCTTATAGCTAAAGACATTTGTTCTCAAACTGCTGCAGTGTCCTTACAATCTCAGTGGGGGAAAAAAAGAACTGCTAATCAATCACATTATTAAAGTTTTAATGATACACTCTAGGTGTTGGTGTAAATGGGTTAAAGGTATTTTAAAATGTTTAAAAATAGTATTCTGATGTTTCTCTTGCACTTCTTATTGAATGTTAAGGGCAAGGTATTAAAAAAATTAAAACTTTTATTTTTATTACAATAAATGTGAGATTTTTTAAGACATAAAAGTAGGACAGAGCGTTGGAGCGCTAATCTGTAAGTTTTGTGTTAGTTTCCTAGCCTTGAGTCTGTTGGGCATCCTTGAGTTCACCCAGCACTGATGGGTACCTGACTCATTAGGCAAATGTAAACAGTTTATTTACAAAGTTTACTTACTAGTGCTAATGTTTTGTATGCCAATCTTAGGCAGGTAACAAAGAAACTGAAACAATTTGCCGAGTCCAAACGCATGAACACTTCGGACAAGACCAACATCCGTGACTTGAGCCAGATGCTGAAGAAGGCACCTCAGTACCAGAAGGAACTGAGCAAGTATTCTGCTCACTTTCACCTGGCTGAGGACTGCATGAGGCAGTACCAGAAACATGTTGATAAATTATGCAAAGTCGAACAGGTCAGAAATCAAAAAAAATTTCTTTAAACAAGTAACTTCTGTTATAGATTAAGTGTTACATTTTATCTCAACCTAATACGTTTCTGTATAACATGTTTGTTCTGGAACCTAAGGATAGACAGTTTTCTTATTTTTTAAATATTGCATGTGATATTTTGAGCGGAATCCAAACAATTTGGTAAACCATTTTAACATTAATGAAGTTGGGAAATAATTTTCTTTTCTTTAGTAATTGTTAAAGTTTGTCGCTGTCTTTAAATGTTTAAATCCACTTTCTGCATGGACAGGATTTAGCCATGGGGACTGATGCAGATGGAGAGAAGATCAGGGACCACATGAGGAACATCGTGCCCATTCTTCTGGACCAGAACATCACAGCCTATGACAAGATCAGGATCATCCTCCTCTATATCATCCATAAAGCAGGTTCGACTTTAACAGTTTTTGTGTCTTTTTTTTTTCTTTTTATCTGAGTATTATCGTTTTTAATATTGATATTTTTTTTTTCTTTTTTGAAAATTAAGGTAAGATAAGCTATATCATTCCTGTTTGCAAATGCTGTTGTTTAAATTGAACTGGTTTGAGCAAAGTAAGATAAATCATATTTGATACTTATGTGTTCTTTAGAATTTCAAACAGTGCAAACTCCTTACAATAAGCTTATCCTTATTCTTGCCTGAAATTTTCTTAATACTAGATTACACTGATAGGGTAAGAGCTGTTGAAAATATTAAGTGTTGCAATTCTTTAGTTAGCTTACACAAAATGCTAACAAGAATTCAAGAGAAAAATACTCAAGAAAAAAAAATTATGCTTTTACTCTTACCCTAAGCCAAAGATTCCATAGACTGCCTGCATTTTCTCACTTGTTATGGTATCATTGGAGACAACACTATTAACTTGCTTTGGTTACTTTATTAACACTTTCTATTTAAATATATTGTGTATATATTTGTATAGTAATCTCACTGAGCAAAACAAAAAAGTCAAACTCTCTTGAAACATGTTCTATATACTTGTTTAGTAAACTCACTGGACAAATAAGCCAAACACTCTTAAAACATGTTCTATATATGTATATAGGGATCTCACTGGACAAAAAGCCAAACACTTTAGAAACATGTTCTGTATACTTGTATAGGAATCTCAGAAGAGAACTTGGCCAAGCTTGTCCAGCATGCCCAAATACCAGTAGAAGAGAAGTGCATCATCACCAACACACAGAACCTGGGTGTCCCCATCATACAAGATGTGAGTGTTGACACTTGAGCTTAATGTAGACTAGCTAGGCCCATGTTATGTAGTTTAGTCTCATCAATTAGGAACAAAGTTGCTTTAGTTTTTGTGTCTAGGGTAATTTAGAGAAGATCCAAGAGCCCTGCATGATATGGTAATTTAATATTTTTAAAGTTTAATAACTTAACTGATACTAATTTAAAAGATATAAAATAATAATGCATGTTCTTGTCATAAATTAATTTTTGTTTCAATTGAGGTTTTTTCGCTGAGTGTGACAGTAAATTTTGCAGAATTATCATTTTGTTTTTTATTGTTTTAGATAGCCATGGGATCAATTTTTTTTTTTAACATTCAAGTGAAAATTTTTTTTTATTTGACAAGAGATCTTTAGTTTAGCCAAGCTTGGATAAGTATTCACAGAAGTCTAGTGTTCTCAGCAGTAATGCTAAATAATGTTGGCTGACAGACTGTTGTGTGAGGTGCATGGAAGCATGGCATTACATGGCATGTCCAATGTCAGGAAGTTGTCGGTGTGATATGGCCAGATTTTTGTGTACAAAAAAAATTTCTTGCAATGGACAAGATAATAACTTTGTGGGTTTTTTTTTTTAAGAAATTGTAATGAAATTGTTTTTTTTTAATATTTAGTAATATACAAAGAACCCCTATTAGAATTCATTTCACAAGTTCTTTTGGTCTGATAATTAGTAAACTTTAACACATACTAGATGCTAAATCTTTAAAGATACTTGAATTCCTAAATTTAATTCATCAGTATCGGTATCAGTATCGATGGCTTGGCAGGACTATCAAATGGTCTGGTGTGGTTTGTTTTTAAAATTGATGTTAAACAGTTAATGTCTGTATTTGTCTGACTTTCTTCAGATATCGGAAAAGGCAGAATCTGAAAGCGGTGAAGTAAATATAAGATTCAGATCTTGATACTATAACTAAACACCTCTACCCATCTGCAACCTTTGCAGTCAGCGGGGGAGAGCATTTCACAAGCTTATAAAATGCAGTTATTCCCTAACTCAAAATTTAACCCAAAAAAAAATCAAGTGCATGTGCATCTCTTTGAACTCTCATCTTGTGTTAATAATTTGAAATAGGTTTTAATTTTGAAATTATTTTCTTTCTATTAAATAGGCATCTTAAATATTTGATAATGCATACGTAAGAAGAAAATGAAGTGATGAGTATCAAAATACTTATTTATCTAGTGCACTTGCTTTTACAATATAACTTTTTTTATATCCTACCTAATTATATTAGCCAGTTACCAATCAGATTATGACTAAAAATGTGTCTTGTATTGGTTGATTCAGCTTGTGCTAGCATATTTCTATTTTATTTTGAGTCATAAGAGGCTGTTTATTCTTTCTTTTATTTATTTTTTTCAAACTCCGGTGGTTTTAGTGCTGCGTTTCAAGGAACTTAGATTGCATTCTTAAGGGTGGGTGTTAGCCGGTAGACTGAGACTTGAAATCAACTTTTTAAAAGTCTGAATTGCATCTGAATGTTTGTTTTCTTCTTTCTTGATAGAGCATGGCAGCTTGCAGTAAAATCTTGAACTGTTATTTACTTCTTTTATCTCAGCATTTGTCTTGTGTAGGTGGTCTCCCTTGATGCCCAACTGAGACTTTTTAAGACAGCTGTATTTTCTTGCAATGACTTGTGTCCCCTGAGCATATGTGTTTTTTATTTTTTACTTCAATTTTCATATATATTTTAATGTATTTTCAAGAGAGTCAGAAATAAATTGATAAAAACAATAGTGAGAGAAATGGCTACACTGCCGTACATTAATTAAATAAAAATAAATACATCTAAAATATCAGATACAAGAAATGAAAATAAGTATTTATTTTAAATATTAAGTGTATTAAATTTTAACAGCTACAAGCATTTTTAGTTGCTAGTGTTGATATGTGTATACCTTAGTTTCTGATCTTTGTAAATTCCCATGATGCTTCACAACTTGTTTTAGCTTGAGTAACTAATTATTTTCTTAGTTTTTCTAGTAGCTAAGATCAATATTTTATGTTCAGTAGGTTGTTTGTTTTGTTTTTTTACATTAATATAATTCTACCTTATAAAATCTTCCAGTTCGTGTTTTAAAAAAAAAAATTATTCCCGCTTTTATCGTAATTATATTATTTTAATATGAGATTGAATACTAAATTAATCAGATTCCATACTTTCAAACATCCAAAATATCTTTCGTTTTACTTTATGAATAAAAAAATTAAGTGAGCTCCGCTACTTTTCTTTCTACTCTCACGCTACTGATTGTGGCCCCTTAGCCCACAACGGGTAAGAAGGGTATTCTCAATGAAAGTTATGGAACTTTTCAAGGACAGGTAACTCTCCGGATCATGTTTGGTAAAAGCTACTTCACTTAACTTCTCCTTAACCAAGGGCTCATTCAAACTTAATACAACTAGTCAGTCTTGTAACAGCCACTCCTGCATGGCTATTTCTAGCTTTAGTTATCCAGCTCTTTTTGGTTTCAATCATATTTTATTTATTTTGGTCTTTTATTATTACATATATCCTCATATGATAATTAATACTTTAATCAGCATATGCATAGCTTTGGGAGAGAGTGTTAACATGTATATACATTGTTTAATAATTAACTATGTAGTAATAATTTATTTTCTGTGAATTGAATTTTTTATGTATTTATTTAAAATCTTCATTTAATTATTGTTATTCACATTAAAAAAAATTGTAATTAAGTAGAGTAGCAAATACATTAAATCTTTTTAAAAAAAAAATAACTTGGGCGTAGGCAGTGGTTCCCAACATATAGTTAGATGTAGGCTTACACCTTGTTACTCGAACTCACCTTGTTCGCTGTCAGCAGTATATTTTTACCTGTCCATTGGCCAGTTTTTAGGACATCTGTTCTGAAACAGTTGTGGCTAAAGGCTTGGTCAACTACTACTGGCCATGTGGCTATTGGCTAAGACAACCACAACATATGAATGGCTTTTACCTGAGTTATCAGCCACTTGTAGCTTACCATACCTATGCTAATGATACTACTGTCATCAATATTTTCTCAACATTGGCCTTCAAATTTCTTCTCCCACCTGACCTTACTAATCCACCTGTTATACATTAGATAATGCCCCCCTAAAGTTGACAAAATATTCCATCAAAGTATTTGAATAGTTTTAGTTTGGGAGCCACTGATGTCTGAAACAAAAAAAATTTCCTTGTTATACTTTTGCAATAAAATCTTTTCTTTAACCAAACTAAAAAATGTGTCCTCAGCAACTAGAATAATAAAACCAGATGTATACAACCTACCACCCAAAAAAAAAGATCATTGAATGAGCCCTTTTAGATTGTTACACACTACTAAAATATTTCTTTCCTACCAATCTGATAATATCAACCTCCACAAAATCATCCAGATCTAAAAATTCTATTAAAGCTGTTATGTTTTTTTTATCTTGAATTGTTTCATAAGTACTATAGTAGCTGTGTGCTTTACCCCTTTTTTGTTGTAGCCTAGCCTTTTGTGTTTTTTTTATTGTAATCTAGGGCTTTATTTTTAGATAAATATTTAAACCTTACTTTGCACAGGGGAGAGAGAATATTACTTATTGTTTAAAATACCTTCCTAAAAGAAAGAGAAGAAAAAAAAAACAGACCACTGCAAGAAATGACTACAAATCTAGTGGATTAGGAAAGTTGTTTTAAAAAAATCAAATCCAACATAATTTTTTTTTTAGTTTAACTTTCAAAATATTGAATAATTAGCCCTCCAATTTTGTCTTTTGAAACCAACCTACCTTCCGCTTTAAGCAATACCCTAATAATCTTACATATAAAATTTACCTTCGACTTTTATATAAATAAATTGATTCTGTGCTTTACCGCTTGTTGCTTTAATGCATGCAGGACTTCAAAGCTAATGGGTTTTTTTTTATATTTATGGGTAAAAAAAGTTAGAAACTAGCATTTTGTTAGTTTCAGTACAGAGGTTACATTAGCCTGGTATTGTGCATATGGAGGAAATGTTTTGGTATTTTTTTTTTATTATTGTTTTCACAGCCTACATTATTTTGCCTTTTGAAAAAAATGGTTCAATGACTCAGGAAACTTTGATTGACATTTTAAAATTTGGGCTTAAATGCAATTTTAAAATTATTATTTTTTTGACTAGGAACGTTTTTATAATTTAATAAGGTTGGAATTTATAGTTTGAGTAATAGTTTTTTATGTTGAAAATTTGTCATGATTTTTGTAATTGTATGTATAAACTAATTTTTTATTTGACCAGTATTAGGTTTCATTATGGGTTAGTAATTCTGGCTAATATTTAGCCAATTAATAATTAATTTATAATTAATTATTTTTAAATTGCTAGTACCCTCTTTTAACAGACTTACCAGAAAATGTATGTAAAGGTTTGCAACTTTAGTCTGTATGTTTTGTGAATTCAGGGTGACTTTATTTTCCTCAGGGAGGCAGGCGTAAAACTCAGCAGCCATACCAGCCATTTAATCGCAAGGTTCGGGCATCAGAACACACTTACCAAATGTCAAGATGGGTTCCATACATTAAAGACATTTTGGAGGTACAGTACTTCTTCATATTTGTTCTTATGATATTAAAGGAAACTGTACAAAGTCGAAAACTGCAACTCGGCACAGGCCCCATACAGTTTGTCAGTGGGGTGTAATGGGGCAAATTTGGACTCAATCTTGTAAAAAATGCAGACTTTTAAAACATGTTCTATTAGCAGTAAATTATTTTTCAGTTTGTTCAGTGTCCATTACAGGCTTTTCTCCTTAGTTAACTATGTCTGTTTGTCTGACTTGCACACACATTTGACCTTGGTGAATAACACAGATTAACTTCACGTGTAAATACAAATCTCCAAGGGTTCTAAACTTTTCCTAACCCTACCCTAAATGCCTTGCTTTAAAAGGGTAATGGTTTCAATCCACTGTACCCTTCTAACAGGATGTCATTGAAGATAAGTTAGATGCCAGGCACTTCCCCTTCCTGTCTGGTGGAGCCTCAGCTAGACCACACATAACAGGTGGACAACGCAGGTATTGTAAATAACCCCCACATGACTTGACATCTTTTTATATAGATTTATACATTTTCCACGAAAAATTATATAAATTTATATAAAACTTAACATGATTTTTGTCACACTTACTAATAGAATGTAGTTTTGAAATTATATATATATATATATATATATATATATATATATATATATATATATATATATATATATATATATATATATATATATATATATATATATATATATATATATATATAGTTCTTATATATAGTTCTTATATATTTATACTTAATTTTTGGCATAATTTTTTCAAAATTCAGAGGATCATGTAATATTTTGTAAAAAAACAGATGTAGAATAATGTCAATAAATTGTATTTAACTTGTGCCTCGAATCACCTAACAGTTTTTGTTATCAGTCGTCTAGTACATAATTTATTTCATTAATCAAGTTTTTTAAATGAACATTTCAATCCTATATAATCTATTGCAACAAGCTTTTAGGATTTTAAGATTAAAAAAATGTCATGTCTTTGCAGTGCTCGCTATGGCCAGTGGCATCAGGAAAAGGGTAAAACAAGCTACAAGTCTGGTCCCAGGCTCATTGTGTTCATCATTGGAGGGGTGACTTACTCCGAGATGAGGTGTGCATACAACGTCACACAATCTGTGAAAAACTGGGAGGTCCTCATAGGTGGGCAAAATATTTTTATTCAAAATTATTCTAATAATTATTCAATTAATGCAGCAGTCAGAAGGTAGTTTTCTATATCAACATGACTGCTAACCTGAAAGTCTAGAGGTTGAGTCTGTATGACGTCCATGAGGCCACCCAGCTCTATTGGGTACCTACTCAATTTTAAGGAAATAAAGGTGGCTAGACATAGTGCTGACCACACAATCCCCCATATTCCGAAGCAATTGAAACAGATGAACTCTATTTCATCTGTATGTCTTGTGCATTCACTGGAAAAATGAGATGATGATATGAATATAGTTGCTTTGAGAGAAAAATATTTTAGCACGTTATATACATTGTGCAGGTTTTTTTAAAATTATTTATTACTACTACTAGTATCATCTTTCCATAATCTTATCACTAATTCGACTGTAGTAAAGTCACACAAAGCATTATTACAAAATGACACATGTGTTTTTATTAATTCTATGCATCTTTTTCACATGGAATTTGGTGCCGTACATTTCTCAAAAATATTTTTTCATACCCTCACCAGGTGCTACTCACATTCTGACTCCAGAAGGTTTCCTTAGTGATCTACGAAGTCTGAGCACAAGCCAAACTTGATTGTGTTAATAGGGTTACCCCTTTTTTTTTTAATATTCATCCCCATACAACGCCATTTTATTAAATTATCAAGCTGTACAACTCTACCGAAGATAAACCTAGATAAATATAGCAACATCCAATATTTGTGTCTTTTAACATGAAAATTTATAATAAATGTGTAAGAAATTATAATAATTGCTTGCATTTTAATAATGCTATATTTGCACATTACTGTTTGCCAAGCATTTAATTTTTTTGGATTTATTTCAACAATACTTTTAATGTGCAAATTTCTTTTTATTTATTTTATTTATAAATTTAAAGCTTTGACATTGTATTTTTGGAAGGTTTATCTTTTTACTTTGATGAGTCTATCTAATTGGTGCACCATACCATGTGGGAACAAATACCACTACAAACAGTAAAATGGTTTTTTTAAATACATGAAAGCTGATCAGCTGGATTGTTTAAAAAAATCAGTTGGTAATTTTGGGTATTATTTTTTAATGTGTGCGAAAGATAGATAAAAATGTGTATGATTGTGGAGTAGTTTAATTAATGTTAGGTGTACTTGCCAGGATTGGTACTTACAGCACAGACTAGTGTTAGTGTAATTTATTTCATTCACCGCTTAGTTATTTTACTATTTCATGTTTAGCCTTAGATTGAATGTATGTATAAACTTTTTTTTTAAAAAAGGATTGATGCCCCATGTTTGATGTGCAATACTTTATTTTCCGCCTTGAACAAAGGTTCTGTTGTACATCTTTGTTATATTAACATTCTAATTCTACAGTATGTGATATATTCTTAATTTGTAAATATTTTTCAGATTTTTTTTTTTCATTTGTCAATGTATTATATTAACAGACCTCTGTGTATTAATTACTTTGTCTGTTAATAATTACCTGTCGGTTATTTTTAATAAACCCTACTCCAGTATCAGTAATGTACATTTGAAAGGTAAAATCAACAGGAGGTACATCATGGTTTAACACTATGCATCCCAAAATAATTAGTGGAATTGTTGTGGAATCCTACTCATTAAATTTCACATACTTTAAGTATTAATTCTATAAGTAGTAATTTCATACCTCATCTAAAATGAGGTTACTTGCCCCTCTCCCCCTCCATTAAAATTGATGCTCTGTTCTGTAACCAAAGTCTCCACTAGTAATCCAACGGATGCCATTTTCATCCTACCTGGCCACATTGTAACATTCCAGAAAAGTTAGGTTCATTTTACTTGTATTTATTAAGGGTGCTTTTCATGCTTGGCCATTTAAATACAAAAAGTAATTGTTTCACTAGTCCAGATTGCTGTAAATTTTTTAGATACATTTAACTCATCACAATAAATTTAACTTAAGTGGCTTGTTTTATTTTACATCAAATGTAAAAGTCCCTTTCCACTGTGCTATCACAGCAAATTTTTTTATGTAAAAAAAAAGTTTTGAAGAAAGTAAATAAATTTTAATCCAAGAAGTAGCTCCCAATCTCATGTATTTTTTCCCACGTTTTCTTTAACTTGCTTTCTCTGTGTCTGTGTTTGTCTTTCCAATCCAATCTTGCGATCGAAATTTCTGGCACTTCCCAGTTAGCTAGCGCGCTGAAATTTTCAGGGAAGCTTTCTTTTGGATGACCATAGAATATGCAATTGTTATTATTACTAAATTGATCAATGGAAACATTTTATTGAGCATTTTAGACCGCTATATAATCTATATATATATGCGAGCCATTAGAAAAAAAACCAGTGACGCGTACCTCGCGCGCAGTGAAGCGAACGATCCCACAGGCTTAGAGGCAGATAATTTACTTTGAACCGAGTTTAAACTTACAGGATGTAGGCCAGTTTGGGGGAGACGATATGGTCGAGTGGTTGGGCACACAATTGCTATCCCACTCGACACGGGTTCAAATCTATGTGTTCTAGTCAGTAACGTATTCACACAACGATTTTTTTTTGAGTTGTCTTTTTACGAGTTGTCTTTTTACGAGTTGTCTTCGTTTACCCAAAAAAAAGTGAAAAGATAAAAATCGATAACAGGATTTTAATGCAAAAAAACAGACAAAGACTAAAAAGTAGAAAATAATCATTAAAAAAGTTTTAAAAAACCCACGTTTTCTGATTGAACTAAAAAGTAGAAAATAAATACTATACATCACAATAATGCAAGCGATCACTCTACTATAAGCGATCAAAAACGTGGGGCGCCGTGATTTTCTTACAGTTTCTAATACTGTTGACTCTCTACAAGCTCCCTAATAAAAGTCAATAGTATTATCTAATCAATAGTAATATAACTTTTACTTCGGCGCCCCACGTTTTTCATCGCTTATAGTAGAGTGATCGCTTGCATTATTGTGATGTATAGTATTTATTTTCTACTTTTTAGTTCAATCAGAAAACGTGGGTTTTTAAAAACTTTTTTAATGATTATTATTTTAAAATAAATTTTGAATGCTGGATATAAATATATAGTGATATGAGAAAATATTTCACTGAGATCTAGCAATAATTAACCCAGGTGCATGTCTGGGCGATTTACAAATTTATATTGGAAGGTGTGTGAACTGCTTTTTTGAAGTTCATGACTTGTGGTGGTTGAAAATCAAACGCAGTTAAGACCCCATATGGATTCAGTTATAACTATACAGATCTCAAACACCCCACATCTGCCTGGAGAAAAGTGAAATGTTGGTCATGGATGATTGGAGAGTGCTACCATGCATGCCAAAAAGGTATATCCCTAGGCACCATACCACTTTTGAAACCAAGGAGTCACATAAGGTATAGGTTATAATTTTAATAAACTGTTTGACTGACAGTGACATAGCTGTCTTGTCAAAATTGTTCCGAAGTGATTACCTGTACAGTATTTTAAGCCCTCTTTCAATACATACTTGGGTTACTGTCTTTACCAGGTTCCAAGACAGCCATATTGATGTTAGCAAATGAAATGCAATGAATTTCTGTAGCTCATAAAAAATTACTTCTGGCAATAAAACATCCCTTGATTTTTTTTTATGTTTAATCTTGAACCAGTTTCAGTTTACACAAAGGTTTGCATCATCTTTATACAGGATCATTTTATGAGCTGCCTTGTAAGATATACCATTAGAACACTAGCAGTGACACTCAAAGGAAAACAAAACAAATAAACATAAATTATACACTTTATTAAGCTTGAAATGTTTCAATCTAACCAACTCGCTGTGCAATTTCTTTAGCCTTGGCTTTCTCCAGCTTGGCAACACGTGCTTGAGACTTTGAGCCCATGACACCACCACCCCAGTGTCTTCGGAGCTGTAAGACATTTAAATCAATAAGTTTGCCATATGCATTTTCTTTACTAAGTTAAACAATTAATCATTCCCTTTGCTTGTTCAGGGTTAAAAAGCTCAATACAAAGCTTCAAAGATAATTAGCAATGTAGAATAATCATCATCACAAGCAACAGGAAACAAAATAGTTACAAAAAGAAATGAAATTGTCATCACACCAACTAATTAACCTTTAGGACAAAATTTAATTTAATTGACCAAATGGGTAAAGATTTTAAGCATAAATGTCCCTAATGACATGTAAGGTGATAATATGAATAATTGATTTGACTATAAAAAGGAACTAGAGAAACAAAAAAAGAATTGTAACAAGAAACCAACTTTTGTAATGCTTCACGACATTATGGACATAAAGGAATTTGACTGAAAAGGCTGGTCAAGTCAGTAAAAAAACTTGGTAAGTGGTAAGTTGATTAATCCATTTAAAAATAACCTCTTCTGCTAAAGGTATACAAATGTACCTTAACTGATATTCAGCATTGTTTGCTCAGGGTTAAAAAGCTCATTACAAGCCTCACAAAAAATCAGCAGTAAAAAAAGATTCATCACAGCTAGCAATGCTGAATCAGTAAGGAGAACCAAGAAAATAAATACACTTACCTCATCAAACCTGTCATTGAAGTTAGTTTTAACAGCCTCAATAAGCTTGTTCAGACTTGGTCTATCCTCACTGAAAAAGTATAGAACAATTGTTTTTGAAAGTACACTACAAAAGAAATAATCCTTACTTCGATTTTGTTTATATTTTAAATTCACAAGAGTTGCATGTTTTTAAGTTTAAAAAAAATTAAAGAAAAAAGATTTTCAACTAATATTAGAAATCCTTGCAGCTTTAATAAAGAAACTCAACTACAATTTGATATAACTGAGCTCAGACACAGCCAAGGAGTATCTTCAATACAAGATCAGTAAATGAATGAGATCATCACTGCTCAGTTACTAACTACAGAAACTACTACACGTAACAGGCAGGACTAAAGAGACCCAGAGTGAAAATCAAGACAAAATAAGACAAAAAACCCTTATGTATGAAACAATTTATGGTAAACTTTCACAAAAATATTACTTGCTCCACACAAAAAAAAAACCCACCGTGTAGATTTTTAAAAAGGCCTGAGCCATTTTACATTGTATTCCAAATGCATAATCCTTCCTGCTAACTACTTACTGCCCTTATTGTTTTAGTTCCACCCTGCTCTGAGATTTTGCAATTTACATACATTTTGCAAGGTTAAAAAAAATCATTCAACTTCATTTTGTGCTGGTAAACCTGAGTGTAAATGAACTTCATTCAACTGGGATTGGGGAAACAGAAATTGCCAAGTATACACAGAGCTGTAAGGTTTTTAAAACTGTCCTAACTAGAATCCCTACATACCAATTAAGGTTTGGGACTGATGTAGTTCCAACAATACTGATGGTGAAAAGAATATAACCACTATTTTAATCACTGAGCTCAGACACAGCCAAGGAGGTATCTTCAAAATAAGTTCAGTAAAGTAAATAGGATCATCACTGCTCAGATACGTTTCTAATTTACAAATCAATCGTGGAAATAATGGTACCAAATCCAAATCCTATTGCAAAAGAAAAATGTGTAACTCAGCAATCAATAAGTGAATAAAAATAATGTGGGATGTTAAAATAATTTTTTTTTCTTGAAACCTGTTGCATGTACTTACGGATGAACTTGGGTAAAAGCCAAGCAAGTGGCTGTCTTTCTGTGAACAACCTGCCCCAAACGTGCCTTGCCTTTGACAATACAATATGGGACTCCCATTTTACGGCATAGTGCAGGAAGGAAGAGTACAATCTGTAGTAAAAAGCAATTATTAACAGTTTTGTTCTGTAGCATTAAAAATACAGAACTGGGTTGATTAATGTGCTCAGTTGTCAAATAAACATCATACTAAAAAGCTTCAGGTGAAGAAATTCTATTACATCACAGCACAACATGTATTAACTGGTTACTTCCAAATGTCTGTATGCTTGGTTGGCAAATTTTAATTTGCAAAAAAATAATAGGGAATATTACTAGGTTACTATGGCCAGATACTGACTAGGACAATGATTTTTAACTAACCTCAATAGGATCGACATCATGGGCAATGACAACCAACTGTGCCTTTTTAGATTCAATCAGGGCTGTAACTGTGTTGATTCCTGATCTAACAACTGGTGGGCGCTTAGTTGGTGTATCAGCTTTGCCTGCAACACGATCTTCAGCACGGCCCTGAAGACGAGCTTCCTTCTGTTTTCTAACTTCAGGTCTGTATTTGTCCATCAAACGGAACAGCTGAATTGCTGCAAGAAGAAATATTTGATTATGCCTACTCAATAGTATCAGATAAGACTATTCAGCAGCAGAAAAAAATAATGTCCCTACCAGTCTGTCTGTCAAGAGCTTGGGTAAACTGGTTGATTGGAGGTGGAACCTTGAGACGCTGGTAGAGAATAGCTCTCTGTCTCTGCAGGCGAATGTACTTGGGCCATCTGACAAAGCGACTTAGATCTCTCTTGGGTTGAATGTCCTGACCAATGCCAAAATTCTTGGGTCTTTTCTCAAAAAGAGGATTTACTATTTTCTTAGGCTCAATCTTTTTGGCAACCAAAGGGGCAGAAGCCACCTTCTTTTTGCCTTTCTTGGATTTTGGTGGAGGCTGTAAAGAAAATATTTTGATTATTATTATTTTCGACTGAAAATAAAATTTTAAAAACATAGGCTACAAACTTAAACCAGGTTTCTTCGTGTTGCAACCATTTATTATATTATTCATTACTTAGGCTAAGTCATATTAAATGTGGGAGCAAGAAGATGTAATAGCTCAACATTATTATGGGTATTGTGTTATTACAGAGACTATGCTGAAGGGTTCTTTTGAATTGTGAAGTCTTAGCCAGTCTTAGGCCTACAAAAAGCCAAATTGGTGCTCAGGCGTCGTAAGTCATCCTGTTTTTGAGTTAACAATAACATCAGGTGAAGAAATTCTTACATCATTGCACCAAAAGTTGACAGTTAAATCATGTTATTCAAATTTAAATAGGATTCAGATATCTAATAAAGTTTCAGTATAAATAATTTCAGTCGTCTTCTCAACCTAGTCATGTCGTCTCACAGAAAATAGATATAAACACCGGTCTTCGAATTCAATTTTATGATACGTAACGAAAAATTGACCTGCTATGTGAACGGTACCCCACAAATAATACTCCAATAAAATTATTAGAACTTTTAAAATACACGATATTAATTATTTGAAATAGTGATAGGTAGATTTTACACGATTTTAAGTAGATATTATCTAACGTAAATCGACAACAACCTACCATGATTAGCAAGAAACCGGAAAAGGAAAGGGTTGGTTGTAGATCCGGGTCAGTGTGGTCAAAATAGAAACTCGATCACAATTTTTAACTTTTGCGATAGTCCCTAGGCTAGGCCTAGCTTCTTGCTCTGGCTGTAGAAATAAGACCAAATTTTTTAAAATAAAATTATAATAGTATAAATTAAATTTAAAATGTCTGAGTAATGTCTACTCTTTTTTTTCTTGTTCTTGTTTTATTATAGTTGTAACTTGTGCTATTAAATTAAATTTGACTTTCCTAAGCAAGTTCATTAAAAGAATACCCCAAAAAAGGCCAAATAGGGCCTAAGTAAAGTAATCCATTAATAAGGAATACATTAATTTTATAACGTAATTTGTGATAAATAAAAAGAATATATAATATGTGTTTTAATTTAAGATAGTGTTAGATCTATAGGCCTATATAATTTTAAAGAAAAAATAGTCTATAATTTTTTTTTTCAACTTGATCTAAGCTTAAGTTTACTGTGGTGAATTACTAAAGTAAATCTATAATATAAGCGGGCTGAGCGTGTGTCAGTCTGTCATCGCTATGGATTTTGAAACCATAAAAGTAAACATCGCACCATGCTGTGCTTTTCAGTGCACCGCAGTATTCTTATTTTAAGTATAGAGTAGGGTTTGCTTATATAACGGCATAGAGCTATTTTATAATTTCCACTGTTTGTACAATTTTGCATAACGTAAAGAGAATATTAAATACACGCACATTGCTAAAACATATTAAAAGGATCAATGTCAAATATCATTTTCGTTTATATTCCCAGAAAAAGTGGATACATATTAATAACATAATAATAGTACGGTAGAAAAATCAAATTAATTTAACTCTTTTTTCTAATTTTGACAAAGGAGGTAATTTAAAAATACATTAAACTCACGCTAATAAAAAATGTGAATGCAAATATACGTTCGTCATAGAAGGAATTAGTGTTGCAATAATATAATTAGCAAAATGTGAATGCAAATTATTCGGATGTGTAAGAGGAAATTATTGTTTGAAAATAATAATTAGCATGGATTGATATAAGGCAATCTTTTATTTATTTTATTCACTAAATGTAGGCCCTAAGACTTATAATTTTTAATCAACTATTCAGCACTATTATAGACGCGTCATCACGTTCATATGGTGCGCAATGGTTTTAGTTATGAAACTTTATTGTAAATTTTTAAAATTTAAAGTACTGGAAAAAATGCGTGAATTGATAAAGTGATATATGGTAGGTAAAACACGGATATTTTAAATATTGCCTATTATTTATTGTATATTATTTATTATTATTCTATCTTTCGGTTTGCGGACAAGCGGGGGGTTTTATAGAAAAGGCGTAGCGAGGGGGGGGGGGGGGCATGTGTCCCCGGGTGCCAACCTTAGGGGGTGCCAAAGTGGGTTGGAAAAAATTTGCGACGGGGGGGGGGGGGTGCAAATCAAAAGTTTGAGCGGGGGAATTTCAAATCAAAAGGGGTGCAAATCGAAAGTTTGAGTGGGGTGCAAATCGAAAGTTTAAGGGCGTGGGGTGGAAATTAAACTTTTGAGGGGAGGGGGTGCAATTCGTAAGTTTGAGGGGGTCAAATCGAAAGTTTGTCCCCGGGCGCCGGAAATGGTCGCTACGCCTCTGTTTTATATTCATTCACGGTGTCAGACGCGTCCGCCGGCGCTCGGAAAGGGCGCGATTTGGTGCTACTGGCTAGACCAGGGGTCTCCAAACTACGGCCCGCGGGCCGGATGCGGCCCGCGAGCTCTTCTTATCCGGCCCGCGGAGACCTTTTTGTCCACGGAAAAACGTTTGTTGGTGATGGCTGAGGAACTTTGCCCAGAAAAATCAAAGACATGCCTGGAAGAAACTGGCCCCTGAACTGAAATTTAATAGTTAATGCGGCCCTCGGACTGAAAAGTTTGGAGACCCCTGGGCTAGACTGTGAGCAATATGCCTTTATGATTGCATTTAAGATGTGTTTATGTTATGAGTGTTGATGTTGTTTTTTCGTTTGTGTTTTTTTTTTTTTGCGTTCGTTTGTGTTGTGTTTAGTTTTGTTCTGTTCCCAAGTTGGTACATTTAAAATAGATTTACCGTGGCGGAGCACGGGATGCAGCTAGTCTAATATATAGATCTAATAGCAATATTGAAAACATGATTTTTTTAAAGACAATATTCCTTTAAGACCTAGATCTAGCAGATGAAGATAGTTCATATGTTGTTTTTTTTTACCTCGGCATAGGGATAAGTGGTCAGCTTTTTTCACTAACGGACCTCATTAGTTGGTCATTTTCAGAGATGAAGATAACTCTACCATCCACAATTTCCCTTCCCCCCCCCCCCCCCCAACCCTCATAATTGGTTCCGCCCCCCCCCCCCCCCCCACACACACACATACGCTTTCGTTGTCCCACCAACTATCCTACAATACGTGGAAGTTTTCTGAAGTATGCCAGCGTTTTACTATTTTTTACGCCAATCTCTGTTGATCTTTCATTTTTTTTTTTTTTTGTAAATTTTAATTACAATGAGAGCAAAGATGTTAGAAAACAATATAATCGGTAAACTTAATTAAGACTAGATCCCTAAATTTTGACTACCCCTCTCTATCTAAGCAAGTGGATTTTGGCGGGATTTTAGTTGCGTCACTAACTACATTTATGACAATACTTTAACTCTGGACCGAATTTCATCTTTCTTTTTTACTTTCTCGTATATACGAAATATAGAGAAAGTCTTGTAATCGTGCCAAAAAAAAATCGAGATTTTTGGAAAGCTCGACGTTTTACACCTCACTGATACGGAAAAACATAATTTTGCAATCTTCTCGGTATGCCTGTGTGTCTGTAAACACGATAACTTGAGTACCGTTACAGCTAGGTTGATGAAATTTCATATATAAGTATTTTATTAAAATCGTAGATCCGTATCAACTTCTGATCGATTTCCGATAACCGGAAGTGGAACTTTTTTTACTTTGAATTTTTCAAAAGCCTATAACTTGAGTACTATTTCAGATAGATAAAAAAAAATTCACATATAAGTAAAAGATCTAATTCTCTGCCTTCTATCAAATTTTGAGTAATTTCCGTTGACCGAAAGTAGTAATTTACACTATTTCCGTTTTCACAAAAAACTAATGTAAATTTATAAAGTACTAATTAATAATCAGAGTTTCTTCCAGGCATCTCTTCGGGGGGGGGGGGCAGAGCCCCCCCCCCCCCCCCCGAAAAAATTTTACCGCCCCCCCGAACGAAATGAAATTTATATAATTTATATAGAAAATATATACTTTTAACAGTGTCCGCCCCCCCCCCCCCCGAAGAAAGTCTACCCCCCCCCCCCCGAAAATTTCAAGTGCCCCCCCCCCCCCGGAGAAAAAAGTCTGGAAGAAACACTGCTAATAATATTGCGCACTATTATGCACATTTTATTTGAAGTTCATTTGGTGTGCAATTCTTTTTTTCTAAGAGATTTTATTCTATTTTTAAAAAGTATTTAAAATGGAGTTCCCATCCCTTGTTGTTTTATATAAGAACGAGCCGACCCGCAGCGTATCATACGCCGCTATATAGTTGTTTTATTTTCTACTTTTCAGTAATTCATAATTTGTGAATTCGACAGTACCAATGCTGCCACTGAAAATATTTGCTTTAAAACACTACCCCCCCCCTTTCCCCTAACCCCGACCCTACACCCCCCCCCCCCCCCCCCGTGAAAGCAGCCTCCTCTTAGTTATTTCTTAGTTACCTCCTGTAAGTTTAAAATCGAACTAAATTATCTGCCCCTAATAGAAACCCGGCTCTACGGCTCTACGATTTGTAAACATTTAGCTTTGTAAACATTTAGAGTGAACACAGCTCACCAGATAATGTGGGGGTGGGGTGGGGGTGGTAGTGATAGTGATAGAGAGAAAGAGAGGGGACTGCAAGGAGGCGCTTGCAGCTTGTTTTCTAACGGCTCCCAGAAGAGAATTATATATATAGATATTCGCGAAAGTTTAGGATAGATCACTCCCGGTTTATTACTTTCTCGTATACACAGATAAGAGGAAGTGTTGTAATCATGCAAAAAATGCACCAATCTCGACGTTTTACACCTCCCTGAGTCGGAAAAACATAGTTTTGCAATGTTGTCCGTGTGCGTGTGTGGATGTATGGATGTGTGTCTGTGAACTCGATAACTTGATTACCGTAACAGCTAGTTTGATGAAATTTCATATGTAAGTATTATATATATCGCTTTTCAGCGATTTCCGATCACCGGGTGAACTTTTTCTACTTTTGGTTTTTCAATAGTCTATAACTTGAGTACTGTTTCAGATAGATAAATGAAATTTTACATAAAAGTGAAAGATCTAATTATCTACCTTCTATCAAATTTTGAGTAATTTCCGTTAACGGAAGTAGTACTTTCCAATATAGCAAAAACGAATGTGAATTTATAAAGGACTAATATTCCGCACTAGTATACACACATTGTTTGCTGTTCACTTGGTGTGCAATTCTTTTTTCTAGGAGATTCTATTCTATTTTAAAAAGTTTAAGTAATTAAAAAATCACGTCTAGAGTTAAGATCCACCAATTTTACGGAAGAACCGGCATTACTTAGGGTTATGTAATCTATAGACTATGTCACACGTTTAAGATATATAATGGAGTAGGGGGGGGTTCACAATTTTATCGTAATGTGCGAATAGTGGTGGGGGGTCAGAAAGTGTAACGACACACTTTTGTATTTTAAAAGTAATTTTTATTAGTTTTAAAATTTAATCTGAAGTAACCTCCTCTGGTACTCTACTACAAGGGAGACAACTTAAATGCAATCTCTGAAATCTAAAAAGAACGTAGTTAATTTATCTCCTACGCTTTCCCAAATAATAAAAAATATTTAAAAGTTGACATAAAGCTGTCAATTGAAAATTACCAGGTAAAACGTAGTCTGTGTAAATAGAATGTGTCTGTCATGGTTTATTTGCTCTATTAAAATCACATCTACAATACAAAAAGGTATTGGCTTATATACTCGATCGTTATATATTACCTTATACAGTTCATAATGTGTCATACAGCCACAGGCCGCTAAAATATATGCTTGCTTATACCTAACAGGGCCAGCGTGGCCTAGCAGTAGAGCGTTAGACTGCTAACTCAAAATGCTCGAGTTTGGATCCGACTCCAAAAGACAGTACAACGTCCACCCAGCTAAATCTTGTGAGGGAAAATAAAGGCGACTGGGCATAATGCTGACCACATTCGTATGCTGAGGTCACTGAAACAGATGAACTCTACTTGATCTGCCCAGTGCGTATCTTTTGCTGCTTGTGCACGAACGGGAAAAGATGATTATATGTACAACATACTCACATACTGATACAAATGTTAGAAAGAAACACTGGCCTTCACATTGATACCAAATTTGCAATTCTTTTTACCAAAACAGTTTAATGATAGCAGTACATTTTTTTTTACTAAGCACACACGTACGCATGTAGACGATCACACACACACATACGCACACATGTACTTGATATTTCGGGGGGGGGGGGGGGGGGGCGGATCGTATACACACATATAGTTCAATATCCTTAATAGGATTTTGCATTTTTTTCCCCAGAAGACGGATATCTTCATGTGCTGAAAAAGATCTCAAAAGCAGTTATACAGATATAAGGCCTCAATTTAAAAAAAGAACCTAGTTAGGAGTTAGGGAGGGGGTGGTGGGGGTAATCCATACATGACTTTACGCTTTTTGACGATTTTAACCCCCTTCCTCCCCCTGCCGTAACACATGGCCACAAAAAGCCAGACCCACCCTTTAAAATGGCGTCACATCTCGGTATATAACCCCTCACTTCAAAGTTACAGTTTTATTTTTTAAACATTGATTTGTTTCTAAAATATTTACTGAACTCTGTCAACATGGAGTATATTATTTAATTTCTACTTCATTTATTAAAAAAAACACAACTTTCTAAAACGCGAATTAACGAACATCCAACAATATGACGTCACACTTTCTGAAATCCCCCTCCTCATCCTCGTCACACATCGTCACGAAATTCCAACCCCTTCTCTCCCCTATGAGTGTGACAAACCATTAGCTTTTCAGTTAGTGTGACCAAATAACTTGCCACATAATTATCATAAAACTAAAAATAAACCGGGAGTGATCTCCCCTAAACTTTCTCGGATATTCTTATATAACTTGGAATATAGACATGGTTTTTAATTACTTAAACTTTTAAAAATAGAATCTCATCGAAAAAAGAATTGCGCACCAAGCGAACGCCAAAACAAAATGTGCATAATAGTGCGCAATATTATTAGTACTTTATAAATTTACAAGTGTTTTTTGAGAAATCGGAAATATCGTAAATTAGTACTTCCGGTCAACGGAAATTACTCAAAATTTGATAGAAGGTAGAGAATTAGATCTTTTACTTACATGTAAAATTTCATTTGTCTATCTGAAATAGTACTCAAGTTATAGGCTTTTGAAAAATTCAAAGTAGAAAAAGTACCACTTCCGGTTATCGGAAATCGCTCAAAAGTTGATACGGATCTACGATTTTGATAAAATACTTATATATATATAACATTTTTTTTTTGCGGGGGAGCCTTTTTTTCTAGTTCCGCCACTGCCCGGAACTTCGTGGTTTTTATGACAAGCATAGGCGTAATTGAAATTAAATGCCATATGCCTTTTCTGGAACTATATTATTATTACGTTCAATGTTTCTTTCAGACTTTTTCTCCGTTGGGGGGGGGGGGGGGGACAGAAGCACCTTATATTTTGGGGGGGGGGGGCAGAGGCGTAGCGACCCTTCCCGGCGCCCGGGGACAAACTTTTCGATTTGCACCCCCCCCCCTCGAGATTTTGATTTGCACCCCCCCCTCGAGATTTTTATTTACACCCCCCCCCCTCAAACTTTCGATTTGCACCCTCCCCTCGAGATTTTGATTTGCACCCCCCCCCCTCATACTCTCGATTTGCACCCCCCCCCTCGAGATTTTGATTTGCACCCCCCTCCCTCAAACTTTCAATGTGCACCCTCAACCTTCCAATTTATTTTTCCAACCCATTTTGGCGCCCCCTAAGCTCGGCGCCCGGGGACATATGTCCCCCCCCCCGGCCCCCCCCCTCGCTACGCTACTGGGGGGGGGGAAACACTGGTTAACGAATATATTTGCCCTTGGAACAAACTCTGATTACGTACCTTTGGCATAATAATACCTGCTTCCAATTCAACCCCTCTTCATGTTATACAGATGAACATAATTTTAACGAATGGATATGGGGCACATTTTTTAAAAAAAAAAGGTTATAATTATACAAACCAAATAAAAGTGGATATACCCCCCCCCCCCCACTCCCGAAGCTATGCCTCAAAGAAACTGCCTAAACCTTCACACCAGTAAATATTATGATTTACACTCTAGATTCTGTGGGTCTTAACTCATTACATATTGTATTAACAAACTCAAAATTATAACGTATAATTTTTCTTTAAAAAAAAAATAAATAAAAAGTCCAACATTCAGGGGAGTTTATCACTAGATTACGGAAGTGACGGAAAGAAGCACGGAAGACCAATATCGATAACTGAAAATGAAACAAACAAAATTTACTTTGATTTTTTATTTGTAGATTTATGCTCAACTAAAGTTCATGGTATGTTCAAATGTTTTTTTAATAATACTGACCGATTTGGCTAACATATTAACTAGATCTAGATTTAGATCTAATTTAAATAAAACTAAACTTAGTTTTAAATTTAATAATTTAATTTTAGTGTTGCAAGTTGAGCAGAGGGAGTTCAACAGCTCACTGGCAGCTCACTGCTCATGCTTTATTTTTTTGATAATTTTCTTAGATCTAGTACTTAACTAGATCTAGATCTAATCAAATACAAACCACTAGAGTACTACTAGTAACTAGAGAGATCTATAAGTGTATAATATAAGTGGAAGTCTAATTTGAGTTAGTACTCTGACTAGGACTAGTGACTAGACTATGACTACTATGAGTCTACTAAAATCAAAAGTTTCATATACTCAATACTGAGTCAATACTCATTTGACATTTACCAAACCCATCTTAATAGTTCTGTCGTCCGCAGTCAATTTCAGAAGCATAGTATGCAAATCGGCAAATCATGTACAATTATTGATCCTCAAGAAACATGACTTAGATCTACATGTAGGCCTATTCAAAGCTATTTTTAATATTTTAATAATTTTATTGTTATCTTACATGACAACAATAATTGCATTCGTTATCAAGCACATTTTTTACTTAGAATCAAAATCAGATGAGTAAATCAAGTTGTTATTTAGTTCACATGGCAATCAATTATGATGAAGAAATAATTTTCTGTAAAAATTACAATTGGTAGAAAAATAATTATTGTTAAACTGACCATGTAGGCTAGGATAGTTTTTTCAATTATTATGGACGTTGACTTTGACCCATATTTCCTAAAATAATACTTTTGATTATTTTCATCTAAATACCTATAAGTTTTAAACTGTTAAATGACAGCTCTTACCTTTTCTTTAACTGGACAGTGTGATTCTTTTTCTGCTGATTGTATACTAATTATAGTTTTTCATTTTCAGTCCATCGACTCACTAATTTGATCACCTTTTTTTATTTACCAGGCAGATTTGTTTTTAAATATCTGAGTCTGTCAGACTGCAAACATGAGTTCAGCTGCAGCTCAGATAATGAGGTTAGTAATACACAAGTTAAAGGGAGGCTAGTGTTTTTAGACTTACCTAGTTCATTTATTTAAGTAATATAATAACTTTTTTAGGCCCTAGATCTATATTGTTGAACAAATATTATTATATTCCTTAAAATATTTTCATTTTTTTTAAATTTCCAGACAAGCAGATGCTGTTAAAAATACAATGACAGGTACATATTTATTATTAGTATTATTATTATTATTGTTTGTAAATATTCTTCACATCGTCAACCTGTTTTAGCCTGGTACACTTTTCTATACTTGAAATAATTTATTGTGTGGTCATCTTGATAAAACAGTTATCTTAAAGGATTTTATTCTTTTCTTATGTTTTATACCTAAATATTGTCATAAAATAATTTCTTTTGCATTTTCTTAGAGTCAGGAAAAGCATTTGCCGACCTATGGGTGACTAGGCAAAAGCTGGAGGATCTTTACAAAAAGATGTTACTGTTGGACTTGGAGTATGCTTTGGATAAGAAAGTGGAACAAGAATTGTAAGTTGTGGCTGATGCAAGCTGTAAATTATTATTTTGTTGACTTCACATTAATTAAGATATATATCTTGGTAAACATCTTAGATGTTACACCCCTCCGCCTAATTATCTTTTCCCCCTCCCCCACCCCAATATTACTTTAAAAACTGGAGTTGGACCTTCCACACTAGACACTTACCACTCCCCTTTCCCCATAAGAAAAAGTACATAATGATTGTTTGTTTGATAATTGTATAGGCATAGCAGTTACATGTTGTAAAATGTTCCAACTCCACTTATGAAGAAGTGAATTTTAGCTTTGAACAAATTAAACTTCTTACACTGTAAAAGTAAGCCAACATTTGAAGGGGCTTGAGTTGGATATCCAAACAATATCTCTCATCATGGGGAAGAGGAAGTAAAGTGTATCTTTTTCAGTGACCTTCGTGGGGATCCACTATCCCCCCTGTGTAATAACCACAAAGAAAAACATTTTTTGACTCCAATTGTTGTGTTGTTAACATTGTCCTTGACTTTGTTAATGGATACTCCATAGATTAGTTGTAAGGGATAGCACACAGCATTGATATACAAATTAAAGTTGGTGTTTTGTTGTCTACCATCATCTTCTACCATTTGTGCTCAAGACACATGAGGCGGATGAAGTTGAGTTAATCTGTTTCATTGACCTCTGCATAGAGTGGAGATAATAGGGTCAGCACTATGTACAGTCATCTTAATTTGCCAAATTAATCTGGGTGGACTGGGGGATAATTATTACAAGGTAGATTAACAGAGGTTGGGGTGTAATTGATCTGAAAGGAGGGGGGTGGGTACTGCTTCTCTTTTTCAAATCCGCTTGCTCTTTAAAAATTATTTAGAAAACTTATTTATACTTTACATCATACCATAGATGGAACCATGCTTTCAAGAACCAAATAAACACACTTCAGACACAGGCTAAAGATCGTCAGGTAAGGCAAGGATGATAATTAATTGTAAGACTCAAAAACTTAGTTGGTCAATGTAAGGAGTTGAGGTTTAGTTAAACTTATGATTTCATATCTTATGAAGTGCTTAACATTCTACTCTAAATAATTTTTTAAATTAGCTTTGTTTTTTAGAAATTAAATATAAATCTCTTTATACTTTTATACAAAATATGTATATGTAAAATAAATTTTTACAATAATGTTATATAAACTATGATTTCATCAAGAATACTCTAAATAAAACAAATAAAACCACACTTGTATATATCTTTTCTTGACAGAATCCCAAGAAAGTAGAAGCACAAGCTAGTCTTAATTTGTTTTTGGAAACAGCAAGTGGTTTTTATTTACAGGTGGGTTTCCTTTCTTTTGCCAACTGTTGTGATATATTTAGACATTTATTACTTCTAGTTGCCAGATAATATTGTTTTGTTTTAAGTAAAATTTGTTTATTATTCATTTCTGTGTATTTCAGTTCTTACAAATGATATGCTCGACTTTTAAACTTGACCTGCCATTCAGACGCAAATCTGCTGCTTTTGGAATTATGAGAGGTAAACACTTGAAAACATATTCATGTACAAAAATAAATTCTGCATAGCTAAAAATAAATTCTGCATAGCTAGCTAGACTCATTCAAGAATCTAAAAGCTCTATGGTTGAAATAAAACAAGAGATTTGTTAAATTTCAAGACACAAAATAGTCAATCAATTTTTTACCTACCGTATAGATTCAACAGTAAAAAAAAAGTAAAATCTAATACAAAACTTTCAAATCAGTGTTTAAAGTTTTGATCAGCAAAATGATCAGCATATTTGTTTTTGTATCCAATGATACATTGAATTAGTCTAGTTGTCTTTTTAGTAAATTTTATGAATATTAGTTATTATATTATATAAAATGTTTTGATAGAGCCATGCAGATGAGTAAAACAATACTTCTATTCAATTACAACTGAGTATCATGTTTAATTTTTGTTTCTTTCAGAGAACACTATGAACTACAAGAGTATTGTCACCCCAAAGAAGAGCTCCTGTCTTTATATTTGCTGCCACTGCCTAGTCCACTTGGGAGATATCGCTAGATACCGCCAGCAGACAGAACAGGCTCAAACGTACTACAGACATGCTGCCAACCTTTCACCAAATAATGGTTTGTATGATAACCTTTATTATCAATATCTATTTCTGTATGAAATATTTTAACAAAATGCTACAATTGATGGTGTGTTCTTATTGTCATGCTTGTTTATTATATTAATAAGTAAAGCAGGCTGCTTTTTTCACAATGTGCCAAAAATAAAGCAATTTTGGCTCATTAGTTGATTAGAAAGTTTTGTGAAAAATTTATTTTTGCAATGTTAGCAAACAGATCTGTGAATATTTTTTAACTGCACTTTCTTTGGTGAGGTTAAAAAGATACCTTATGGAGTCTATTTATCGTTGTAAAGTAAAATCAATTAGAGTTAGTGCAGTAGTCTAATATTGAAACCCATTAGATGTATAGTTTGATTGATAGCTGGTCTGTGTGTTTGCAGTGTATGTGTCACTCTGATACTGTGCAACATGGCGTCATGGGTATATGTTGAGACTTGTTTTTTCTGTTTTTGTGTTTGAAAACCGAATGCAGGCGCCTGGTTTAAATATATTCATCAAAACGTATAAATGTTATTTTCTTGATAGGTCAACCCTACAACCAGCTGGCCATACTGGAGGCATCTAGGGGAGACAAGCTGTCAACAGTATTCTACTACATCCGCAGTCTGGCAGTCAGGCACCCGTTTCCTGTTGCTGCCACCAACCTGGAGAAATTTTACTCCAAACTGATCAAGGACACGTAAGTTGATTACTCTCTTACAACTTAGGTTTGATGACAGTCGACTGTTAAGTAACTGTAAGTAAAGTTACCCTTTTTGAACCTGGTGGTCCATGCGGAAGATGAAGTAGAGATCACCTGTTTCTATGACCTTAGCATACGAAGGGATAGTGTGGTCAGCATTATGCCCAGCTGCCTTTACTTTCTCGAACATTGAGTCAGGTACCCATCAGAGCTGGGTCTTCTCAGGAACATCCTACTAACTCAAGGCCGGGATGTGAACGCAAGACTTTCTCGTTGGCGATCATACGCTGTACCATCTTACCAGAAAGTCCCATTTATGTAATAATAATGTAGCTATAATGTATTATCTTTTTATGAAATAACGATACCAAATGTGATCCTTTTCAAAGAGCTTCTATGTTTTATATGTCCATTTTACTGTAACAATATATGGGTTGTACATACACTGTTTAGTGTTACAAATTCTTACATTTTGTCATTGTTTTTTTAGTAAGCCTAGTCTTAATTAAATGTGTTATTTATATAATTTTTGTCTGTCAGGCGGTCAGATTTTGATGGACTTAACCTGACTATGAGTGAGCTGATCACAGCGTTCATGCATTTCCAAGCTCTGTTGCACATGTCTACTGGTGAGTGTGGTCCTTTTCTATTTGATAATTAAACTAAATAAATTTTTTAGCAATGTCAGTTATTTAGAAAATGTGGTACATTTAAGAGATGGCATGGAGAATTCAGATTTGGAAGCAAACTTATGAAGATTGAGAGTGTATCTAGAATTTTTTTTAAATTGTACTTTTTTTTTAATTTTAAAATATATTTTTTCATTAGTTATTTGTCAATGCTTGAACCTACCAGATATAAAAAAAAACAACTAATTTTCAAAGATGAGATTTTTTATGGAATTGAAAAAAAAGCTCAATTCTGTTATATGTTTGAGTTATTTTTAGATTTTTTAATTACTTATTTGTCATGGTTTTAACCTACAAGATTAGAAAGAACCTTCAATCTAAAGATTGTGTCTTGAATACATAAACACATTTTTATTATTTTTCATTTTTGGGTTACTTTTAGATTTTTTATAATTTATTTGTCATTGTTTGAACTTACCAGATTTAGAAAGAGCCTCCAACCTGAAGATGAAGATTGTGTCTGGCCTGGGCAGCCACATCAGGTCTCAGACAGTCTCCGCGGCCCACCTGACTGGCATTGTGGCCATCTCCATCTTCGCCCTGCACAGGGCCAGGTGCGACAGCAATGATGCTGGCGACGCTGTCAGGAAAACTGTCCTGTCATCAGAGGAGGAGAAGATAATCCAGATACACCTGAGTTTTGCTGGTACTGAGATTTGATAACATGCTTAATTAATTAGTAGCTAGCCTACCATCACTCTTGGATTATACATAATGATAATTAGTGGTTGTATTATGATTATTAGTTTTTATAGATTATTAGGGGCTTCAAATTATAATTATTGGCGGCTATATATTCTGATCATAAGTGGCTGTATATTATGATTATTAGTTTCTATAGATTATTAAGGGGCTTCAAATTATAATTCTTGGTGGCTATATATTCTGATCATGAGGGGATGTAGATTATGATTATTACTGGCTGTAGATTCTGATCATTAGTTGCTGCAGATTCTGATTATGTAGCTTTTAAAATAATCAACTTTTAATATGTACCATAAATTGTGGATTATAATTTCAGAACAAAATTTTTTAATCTAGCAATGAACCTTAACGTGTCTTTTAAAATTTACCATAAATTAATGGGAATAAAAGCTTTAATCTAGAAATGACTAATGATCTTTGAAATAGCAAGGAAAATATTAAACTTTTTTTTTGCTTAATTACCATTTCTTAAAGTTAATGATGTTGTAACAATAATTTAGAATTTTATATTTTCACCATTTTTAGTTTTTATTTGGAACTAGGTGTAGATTCCTTCAGGACTGTAAGCTGCTTACACTCATTAAAATGATTTAATAGCAATTTTATTTTACCATCCTATTCTATCACCATGAAATCTAATATAAAACTTTACTATGGCATGACTGTAGCCAAACTGCTGGAGACTATGCTCCAACACACTCCCAAAGAGGACAACAAAGCCAGAGACTTTCCAACACTCTCAGCCATCAAAGTCCTGTTTGACTGGTTCTACCTCAACAAAGACATTTTTCATGGAAAAGATTTTAATAACACCAGGTATTTGTCTTATGTAACTGACAACCAGTTTAAGAAAAAAAAACTACATAATGTTGCCCTGGAAGTATAGCACTCAAAATTTAAGTGTTTTGATCAATTATTTAACAAGAACTCTGTTGTTTTCCTTTGTGTTACTTTTCGCTTAACCTTTTTGAATTGACCAAACTGAAATGACAGCTGCGGCCTTTTTAAATTCGATGAAGGTCTATAAAAATACTACTTAAATACAACGTTATAGTTAGATACTTTAATTTAAACTTACTTTCATAAATATTACAGCAGTTACTTGTTCAAAGTGTCTACTCGGAAGAAGATTTTTCTCCCCAACGTCTCCACTTAGTCGGCAAAAGATAGCTCTGCGCATGCACAGTGACCTATGGCTAGGGTTAGGGCTAGAATGAGTGTTAGGGGTAGGATTAGGGATAGGGTTAGGGATATAATTAGGGCTAGGGTTAGGGCTAGGGTTAGGCTTAGGGATAGGATTAGGGTTAGGGATAGGATTAGGGATAGGGTTAAGGATAGGATTAGGGTTGGTGTTAGGGTTCTGCGGTTGTAAACACACGCATGCGCAGTACCATCGAAAACATCGCCGCTAAGGCAAGTCGTAGTTTCTCTCCATTGCGCATGCGTATCGCATGCGTATCTTATTCCGGCTAGAATCGGCCTTACTTGTTTGCCTTCTTTATTTAAAAAAAAAATCACATCTTTCCACAGTATCTGGTCCGATTTGTGTAAACTGCTGAATACACTGCAATGGTTGTTGAATGATTCCAACAAAGCTTCTGAACTCAGGAAATGTAAGATTTAGTACTTATTATATTTGAATGTTGATTGATCCGTAACTTATTCCTTTGTAGCCCCTGAGGAGCAAAGGGTCAGCCGCATATCTCCACCAGAGTTTGTTTTGGGCAGCTCTCTTCATTTGAGCCCACTTTAGCCTAACAGCTCTTTTGTTGGTCCAGTCACTTTTAAAGTTTGAGAAGAGTGTGTATTTCTTTAAAAACAAGTACAAGTGCAGTTAACCTCCCTATTAGGTCCACACTGGTAGAGGTATTTCTCCAGCCCCTATTTTTTAAATTATGTTGGCAACTAAAGTTCCCCTTTTGGACCTGACAATCCATAGTGCAGATGAAGTAGAGTTCATTTGTTTCTTGACTATGGGATGGTGTGGTCAGGACTAAGCTTTGCTTTCCTTAATTTCTCTAATGTGAGTCAGGTACCCACATCAGAGCTGGGTGGACATCCTACAAACTGAAAAAGTTTTAGTTCGAGATCCAACCTCGAGACTTTCAGGTTAACAGCCAAGCTCTCTACTCCCTGACCACACATCCCGTACCTGTTAAACTTTGTATCTATTATTAAATGTATCAGCTGACTTAAGTAACCTGTGATGTTCAACTATCATGAATGTTATTTACCAGTTGAGGACACTCCCCTACCTGAGGACACAGATCTGAGATGTTTTCAACCACTGGAGCCCACCTACAGGTTAGATACAGACTTTTTCATTTTTGCATGGGCCAACATTTTAATGGTACCTAGCTAATGACATCTTTAGGCCAACATTTTACTTGTCATCTTTAGGCCAACATTTTACTGGTATCTAGTAAATGACATCTTTAGGCCTACATTTTACTGGTATCTAGTAAATGACATCTTTAGGCCAACATTTTATTGGTATCTAGTAAATGTCATCTTTAGGCTAGTACTGGTACCTAGCAACAGTCGTCTTTACATAGACAAACATTTTACTGGTTAATGTTTAATCATTGAAAATGGTAATATCAGAATCTATGGGTAGGCCTTGAGCTAATCACTACAATTTAGCCTATGCTTACATTCCTATTGCTTGCTTACAGTGCATACAACTTCAACAAAGCAATGAATGAGGACCTAAGCTCTGCATGTGAGAGAGACCTGCGCTGCCAGAGACTGATATCACATGGGAAATGGGTGGCTCAAGATCTGCCCAAGCTTAAGCTGATTGTCTACCAGCCGGCCAAGTCCATACGAACACAGTTTTCCACACAAAAAGGTTGGCTTGCGAGTTCTCTAATGCTTTTTAACAATCATAAGATTAAATTTTTCAAAAGAAACTGAATTAAGATGGCAAAGTTAAATGAAGTTTAGAATAGATAAAGCACCACTCCAAGAAGTAATGGTGACTTAGCCACACTGAACCAGTCACAACTTGTGCACTGTTTGTCACAAGTATTACCCTGCTTGATGACTATGTGATTTAAAATATTTTATGTTCAATAATGCTTTAAAAATTTCCAAAAAACAAATAGCTTCAATAAATTAACATAATCTGTAATAATTTAATTAAATGTTAGCATCGTAAACACTGTATTTTTAAAAATTCTGTAGAGTATAACATTGTTTTGTAAAAGTATTTGTTTATTTTACTGTTATTACTTTACTTTGTTTAATTATAAATTGTTACACTTTCCTGACATTTTATTGTAATACTTTTGTTTCCTTTAGTCTACCATATGACAGAAAGCCAACCAACACCTGTGCAGAAGCCATCACAGCGACAAAATGTTGCCATGCAGGTAAGATTACATCATGAAATTACTAGGGCCACCAACAGGTAAATTATATCTTGAAAAAAATCACTTGGGGAGCCAAAATGGATAATTGGTTGTGGGGGTGGGTGGATGTAGATTGACTCAAATGCTGTCAACTGGATGTTAACTGATTCAGTGGCAATCCATCATCTGATATAACAAGTAGACCTGGACTATAACCAACTCTGCCAATGGTCAACTATGAGCATTTTAAATTTAGAAATAAATTAAAAAAGTAAATTCTGAAGCTGTTTTTGTCATCTTTAGCACAGGTTCTCAACCTTTATTGGGTGCTGACCCCTTTTATAAAAGCCAAGTGACCCCTGACGCCCAATACAATTGAAAAAAAAATTCATACTATTAAAAATAAAATTTGCATTAAAGTTAATATTGTTTTTTTAGTTTACCATATAAGTTGGTGACCCATTTGTGTCTAAACCGATCGATTGGGAACCGTTGATCAATGGGGTATCAATTTTATTAAAAACATGAATTTAAAATTTCTAAGCTTAAACAGATTCTTACTGCTAATGCAATAATTGGCTGTTTTATATGCATGACAATGAAGTATGGATTGCAAGAAATAGCTTCCTCATCTTTATAAAAGGTTGCTTTCTTTAAAAAATAATTATATTAAATATTTAAAAATGCCATAGTAGAACACTCTCCTACACAAAATATTCCTTCCACACACGTTCTATATAGATGGAACATTGCATGGTACATTCTTACCATTTTGAAAACAAATTTACAAATATGTTTTGAATTTAGACCAGTGGTTCTTAACCTGGTTTAATCAAACCCGTAGGTTCGATGAGTCAGTCTCAGGGGCTCAGCGGAGGTCAAGACACACACCCAATTCATGATTCACTGATTCACTATTAGATTTTGTCTTTGCGGATGATAGAACTATTAAAAAGTGTTAGCTGAATGCGCATATGAAATCGGTAGGGTTTGGTTTGTCCAAAAATGTTAAGAACCACTGATTTAGACAGTTGTAATGTATTGTTTTATCAAACCAAAGCAATTTTTTCCCCAGACAATAATGAAGAAACAGATGCAGAAGAGGATGGAGCAGGAGAAGAGTTCATCCAGTACAAGCCCACTATCAGTGAGTGGTACACTGTGTGCTATCACCTTACTTAGATGTCTCTGTGTATTGCTTATTAAGATATCACTTCAAGATACCTTACCTAGAATACGCCTATTAAGATATCACTGCAAGATAATTTTATTACCATATTAGAAGCTGGTGTTGTTAAAAATGTTGCATTGTTGTGTAGAACATTGTATCTCGTCTGTTGTTCTATAGAACCAATGTAATGTTGTCTAGATCTAATGTATTGTCAAGAACCAATGTACTGTTGTCTAGATCTAATATATTGTCAAGAACCAATGTAATGTTGTTTAGACCCAATGTATTTTCAAGAACCAATGTAATGTTGTCTATATCTAATGTATTGTCAAGAACCAATGTAATGTTGTCTAGATCTAATGTATTGTCAAGAACCAATGTAATGTTGTCTATATCTAATGTATTGTCAAGAACCAATGTAATATTGTCTAGATCTAATGTACTGTCAAGAACCAATGTAATGTTGTCTAGATCTAATGTATTGCCAAGAACCAATGTAATGTTGTCTAGATCTAATGTATTGTCAAAAACCAATGTAATGTTGTCTATATCTAATGTATTGCCAAGAACCAATGTAATGTTGTCTAGACCCAATGTATTGTCAAGAACCAATGTAATGTTGTCTAGATCTAATGTACTGTCAAGAACCAATGTAATGTTGTCTAGATCTAATGTATTGTCAAGAACTAATGTACTGTTGTCTATATCTAATGTATTGTCAAGAACCAATGTAATGTTGTCTAGATCTAATGTATTGTCAAGAACTAATGTACTGTTGTCTAGATCTAATATATTGTCAAGAACCAATGTAATGTTGTCTAGACCTAATGTATTGCCAAGAACCAATGTAATGTTGTCTATATCTAATGTATTGTCAAGAACCAATGTAATGTTGTCTAGATCTAATGTATTGCCAAGAACCAATGTAATGTTGTCTAGACCCAATGTATTGTCAAGAACCAATGTAATGTTGTCTAGATCTAATGTATTGTCAAGAACCAATGTAATATTGTCTAGATCTAATGTACTGTCAAGAACCAATGTAATGTTGTCTAGATCTAATGTATTGCCAAGAACCAATGTAATGTTGTCTAGATCTAATGTATTGTCAAAAACCAATGTAATGTTGTCTATATCTAATGTATTGCCAAGAACCAATGTAATGTTGTCTAGACCCAATGTATTGTCAAGAACCAATATAATGTTGTCTAGATCTAATATATTGTCAAGAACCAATGTAATGTTGTCTAGACCCAATGTATTGTCAAGAACCAATATAATGTTGTCTAGATCTAATGTACTGTCAAGAACCAATGTAATGTTGTCTAGATCTAATGTATTGTCAAGAACTAATGTACTGTTGTCTAGATCTAATATATTGTCAAGAACCAATGTAATGTTGTCTAGACCTAATGTATTGCCAAGAACCAATGTAATGTTGTCTATATCTAATGTATTGTCAAGAACCAATGTAATGTTGTCTAGATCTAATGTATTGCCAAGAACCAATGTAATGTTGTCTAGACCCAATGTATTGTCAAGAACCAATGTAATGTTGTCTAGATCTAATGTATTGTCAAGAACCAATGTAATATTGTCTAGATCTAATGTACTGTCAAGAACCAATGTAATGTTGTCTAGATCTAATGTATTGCCAAGAACCAATGTAATGTTGTCTAGATCTAATGTATTGTCAAAAACCAATGTAATGTTGTCTATATCTAATGTATTGCCAAGAACCAATGTAATGTTGTCTAGACCCAATGTATTGTCAAGAACCAATGTAATGTTGTCTAGATCTAATGTACTGTCAAGAACCAATGTAATGTTGTCTAGATCTAATGTATTGTCAAGAACTAATGTACTGTTGTCTAGATCTAATATATTGTCAAGAACCAATGTAATGTTGTCTAGACCTAATGTATTGCCAAGAACCAATGTAATGTTGTCTATATCTAATGTATTGTCAAGAACCAATGTAATGTTGTCTAGATCTAATGTATTGCCAAGAACCAATGTAATGTTGTCTATATCTAATGTATTGTCAAGAACCAATGTAATGTTGTCTAGATCTAATGTATTGCCAAGAACCAATGTAATGTTGTCTAGACCCAATGTATTGTCAAGAACCAATGTAATGTTGTCTAGATCTAATGTATTGTCAAGAACCAATGTAATATTGTCTAGATCTAATGTACTGTCAAGAACCAATGTAATGTTGTCTAGATCTAATGTATTGCCAAGAACCAATGTAATGTTGTCTAGATCTAATGTATTGTCAAAAACCAATGTAATGTTGTCTATATCTAATGTATTGCCAAGAACCAATGTAATGTTGTCTAGACCCAATGTATTGTCAAGAACCAATGTAATGTTGTCTAGATCTAATGTACTGTCAAGAACCAATGTAATGTTGTCTAGATCTAATGTATTGTCAAGAACTTATGTACTGTTGTCTAGATCTAATATATTGTCAAGAACCAATGTAATGTTGTCTAGACCTAATGTATTGCCAAGAACCAATGTAATGTTGTCTATATCTAATGTATTGTCAAGAACCAATGTAATGTTGTCTAGATCTAATGTATTGCCAAGAACCAATGTAATGTTGTCTATATCTAATGTATTGTCAAGAACCAATGTAATGTTGTCTAGATCTAATGTATTGCCAAGAACCAATGTAATGTTGTCTAGACCCAATGTATTGTCAAGAACCAATGTAATGTTGTCTAGATCTAATGTATTGTCAAGAACCAATGTAATATTGTCTAGATCTAATGTACTGTCAAGAACCAATGTAATGTTGTCTAGATCTAATGTATTGCCAAGAACCAATGTAATGTTGTCTAGATCTAATGTATTGTCAAAAACCAATGTAATGTTGTCTATATCTAATGTATTGCCAAGAACCAATGTAATGTTGTCTAGACCCAATGTATTGTCAAGAACCAATGTAATGTTGTCTAGATCTAATGTACTGTCAAGAACCAATGTAATGTTGTCTAGATCTAATGTATTGTCAAGAACTAATGTACTGTTGTCTAGATCTAATATATTGTCAAGAACCAATGTAATGTTGTCTAGACCTAATGTATTGCCAAGAACCAATGTAATGTTGTCTATATCTAATGTATTGTCAAGAACCAATGTAATGTTGTCTAGATCTAATGTATTGCCAAGAACCAATGTAATGTTGTCTAGACCCAATGTATTGTCAAGAACCAATGTAATGTTGTCTAGATCTAATGTATTGTCAAGAACCAATGTAATATTGTCTAGATCTAATGTACTGTCAAGAACCAATGTAATGTTGTCTAGATCTAATGTATTGCCAAGAACCAATGTAATGTTGTCTAGATCTAATGTATTGTCAAAAACCAATGTAATGTTGTCTATATCTAATGTATTGCCAAGAACCAATGTAATGTTGTCTAGACCCAATGTATTGTCAAGAACCAATGTAATGTTGTCTAGATCTAATGTACTGTCAAGAACCAATGTAATGTTGTCTAGATCTAATGTATTGTCAAGAACTAATGTACTGTTGTCTAGATCTAATATATTGTCAAGAACCAATGTAATGTTGTCTAGACCTAATGTATTGCCAAGAACCAATGTAATGTTGTCTATATCTAATGTATTGTCAAGAACCAATGTAATGTTGTCTAGATCTAATGTATTGCCAAGAACCAATGTAATGTTGTCTAGGCCCAATGTATTGTCAAGAACCAATGTAATGTTGTCTAGATCTAATGTATTGTCAAGAACCAATGTAATATTGTCTAGATCTAATGTACTGTCAAGAACCAATGTAATGTTGTCTAGATCTAATGTATTGCCAAGAACCAATGTAATGTTGTCTAGATCTAATGTATTGTCAAAAACCAATGTAATGTTGTCTATATCTAATGTATTGCCAAGAACCAATGTAATGTTGTCTAGACCCAATGTATTGTCAAGAACCAATGTAATGTTGTCTAGATCTAATGTACTGTCAAGAACCAATGTAATGTTGTCTAGATCTAATGTATTGTCAAGAACTAATGTACTGTTGTCTAGATCTAATATATTGTCAAGAACCAATGTAATGTTGTCTAGACCTAATGTATTGCCAAGAACCAATGTAATGTTGTCTATATCTAATGTATTGTCAAGAACCAATGTAATGTTGTCTAGATCTAATGTATTGCCAAGAACCAATGTAATGTTGTCTATATCAAATGTATTGTTAAGAACCAATGTAATGTTGTCTAGATCTAATGTATTGCCAAGAACCAATGTAATGTTGTCTAGACCCAATGTATTGTCAAGAACCAATGTAATGTTGTCTAGATCTAATGTATTGTCAAGAACCAATGTAATATTGTCTAGATCTAATGTACTGTCAAGAACCAATGTAATGTTGTCTAGATCTAATGTATTGCCAAGAACCAATGTAATGTTGTCTAGATCTAATGTATTGTCAAAAACCAATGTAATGTTGTCTATATCTAATGTATTGCCAAGAACCAATGTAATGTTGTCTAGACCCAATGTATTGTCAAGAACCAATGTAATGTTGTCTAGATCTAATGTACTGTCAAGAACCAATGTAATGTTGTCTAGATCTAATGTATTGTCAAGAACTAATGTACTGTTGTCTAGATCTAATATATTGTCAAGAACCAATGTAATGTTGTCTAGACCTAATGTATTGCCAAGAACCAATGTAATGTTGTCTATATCTAATGTATTGTCAAGAACCAATGTAATGTTGTCTAGATCTAATGTATTGCCAAGAACCAATGTAATGTTGTCTAGACCCAATGTATTGTCAAGAACCAATGTAATGTTGTCTAGACCCAATGTAGTGTCAAGAACCAATGTAATGTTGTCTAGACCCAATGTAGTGTCAAGAACCAATGTAATGTTGTCTAGACCCAATGTATTGTCAAGAAACAATGTAATGTTGTCTAGAGTTAATGTATTCTCAAGAACCAATGTAATGTTGTCTAGATCTAATGTATTGCCAAGAACCAATGTACTGTTGTCTAGATCTAATGTATTGTCAAGAACCAATGTAATGTTGTCTAGACCTAATATATTGCCAATAACCAATGTACTGTTATATTGAATGACACTGTGAGGTTGTCTATTGCAGGTGATCTCTGAAGAGGGCAGGTTTGTGCCGCCAGCTGAGAATGGAACAGACCCAGGCTTGAGCCAGAAGACAGGGGGAAGACAGGCAGGGGTCATTACCCTGCACCACAAGAGTGGAGGAACTCAGAAAAATTTACCACCAAGGTCAGTTTGATTTGTTTTACAATAATATAATTTTGTTTCATAGCCCCTACCTGCCATTTTTTAAATTTCAAATGTTGTTTTGCATTATACTTGACAAGGCAGTTGAAAAAATTATTTTTTAAACTGCAAAAAACATAAAAAATGAAAAACCAAAGGTGTGCAGGAAGAGAGTTTAATACATTAGCACCCTGCTCCTTAGTGTCATCATCCAGGTCAATCACTCCCTGATAATAATCACCCGGTCATTGAAGGATGTGAATATGTTTAGGATATGGTAAAGGATAGGGATACTTAGGAATAAAGATGGGCAGATTGTATAAGATGCACTCTAAAGCGGAGGGGTAATTTCCTGGATCCGTAACATTTTAAAAATATACTTTTATGCTAGTTAATGTTACACATTTTCTGTTGATTTTTTGTTAAATCAAAATGCAAATCTGGCAAATCTATCAGGTATATTTCTAACACGCTTTTGAAAACTTGTTTATCCATTAGATTATCTGCCAAAGTTTCCAACACCCAAAACTCAACTCTAAGCCCTCGTCTTCAAAAGAAACAAAGCACACCAAACCACAGCTCAAGTCGCAGCATCCCAGCTGTCAGTCGTTCAAACACACAGGAAGGGGTGGAGGGTAACAAGGAAGATGTCCAAGAAAGCACTGGGTATTCAAGTCAGGAAGTGTATCCAAGTCTGAGTATGGATAACTATCCAGTTCTGACCAGTGCCAGGTCCAACGCCTCCCTAATTCCCTCGGATAATAACCAGCAGAGTAATAAAAATTTCCTCTCAAGCACAAGTTGGGGAGTCCTGAATTTGGGACGTGATAGCGGTGGGGGGATGGGATCAGCCGGTTCACCTTTAGGGATGGGATCATCCGGTTCTCCATTAGGAATGGGGAGCAAACCGTCTTCTGTGGATAACATGTCCGGTTCACCGCGGTCTCCCCAAGCCTCTCCAGGCGTTGGCTCACCATACTCCAATCACGATCAGGGCATGAGGTCATCAATGGAGCTGCCAATGATGGGTGGGGAAGCCATGGACAACCAGGGTAGGCTGAATTTCTCAAGCTCAAAGCTCAATGCAGATTTCCTGTCTGCCATCATGTCAGCCAGTCAGATGGTACAACAACAACAGCAGCAACAGCAACAGTACCACCACCAGCAACAACACCCGAGCATGCGACAAAGTGGTGAGCAGTTCCAGCGACCGCCCTTTGGTCAAGGGCACCTCAACCCCATGCTGAACCAACCCCCAGCCCAGAGCAACAACTACTACCAGCCCCAGAACCCCATGCAGAACATGTTCCAGCAGCCCCCTCTCAACCAAGGTACCACAGGGTCTAACCTCCCCGGGCAGAACTCAGCCATCTTGAACCAGGCCCAGAGTTCCAGAGGTATGAACATGTTAGGGAACCAATCTATGAAAATGCAGACGCCGCTAAGTAGCATGAACATGCCGCCACCACAAAGAGGAATGGCACAAGGGCCACAGTCCATGATGCTGGACTCTAGGGCCCAGACAACATCTACGGCCTCACCTGCCAGGGGTTACCAGGCTTCTAGAATGGATTCCTCACAATCTTTCATGGGCAATCAAGCAGGTGAGATGTTCTTTACTGTTGGTTTACTCTTCACTCTCTTAATACTGGTGTGTTCATTACTTAGTAAATACTAGCTTTCATGGAACTAGTTAGGTTAAAACTTGCTCATCTTAGAAAAAATAACAAAGCTGTACTGCGAGCCACATTAACTGGCTTGAGACAGGTGACAGAGCTGGGTGGACTCAGTCTAAATGTGGGGAGCCAAGAATTTTTAGTTAGTACATGTGTGCTCTGTCACTTGGCCATCCCATACTTTGCCAACTATAAGCTCTGGTTTATTGAAAAAAAGTGCCTCTAATTTTTCAAAGGTTTCATTGATATTTTATTAACAATAAAACTACTATAGGTACAATTAATCAATAAAATGAGTATAATAAACCAGTGACTTATTTGTCCATAAAAGTAAAAAAAAAAATTTCGTCTTAAAGTTGATTGACATGCCACTATATAAATCATTAAATGCTAAATATGTCATTTGCCAGCCTCACCAGCTCCTGTTGGGTTCATCCCCCCCTCAGCTGTTGTAGCCCAGACCAAAGGTCAAGCGCCCAGCTTGAATGGCCCAAGTTACCCTTCTTCCATGATGTCTGGTGGCTCGGTGGGCACAGGAAGATCAGGCAACAATGGTCAGTTTTCACAGTGTCTGTCCTTAACTCTTGCTTTTATTTTACACTAACAAATGTGTGAGCTGTTTGTTCTGTTTTAGCCAATGCTAGAGTTTGTTTTGTAGGGGTGTTGCGTACTTGATTAAAAGCATTCTTTCCAGCTTTCTGTGTTCTAGTTTGCTGTAGTATAGGCTAAAGCTTTTAGGTTGTAGTTAATTTTGTGTAAGTGGTAAAAGAGGAGTGTTTATTATATGAAAATTTTTGCCCTTTCTGATCATTTTTAAAGTGGTTATTATTTTTTATGCTGTTTGATCTATGAAATAATTTGTCTGTCTTTGCCAACTTGGCTTAATCGAAATTATTTAAAATTTTAATTTTTTAGTGTCTCAGTCTCTGTCTGGCATGGGTGGAGCTCCATTCATGGGGGGCCAGCACCTCCACCACCACCCCCAGCAGGTGTCCGCCATGAAGTCCCAGTCCTCGGGTCTGCTGTATCAGAACATCCCACTACCAGGCAGCGCCACTGGTGGCAGCAGCGCTGGCTCAGGTGGGCCCAGTTCCAACATGTCTGGGATGGTCATGCCTGGTCAGGCCCAGGGTCAGTGTAAGTCTTTGTTTTGGTCATTGTAAACACACTTGAACCATTTCACACTGGTCATGCCTGGTCAGGGTCAGTGTAAGTCTTTCTTCTGGTCATTGTAAACACACTTGAACCCTTTCACACTGGTCAGGCCCAGGGTCAGTGTAAGTCTTTCTTCTGGTCATTGTAAACACACTTGAACCATTTCACACTGGTCAGGCCCAGGGTCAGTGTAAGTCTTTCTTCTGGTCATTGTAAACACACTTGAACCATTTCACACTGGTCAGGCCCAGGGTCAGTGTAAGTCTTTCTTCTGGTCATTGTAAACACACTTGAACCATTTCACACTGGTCAGGCCCAGGGTCAGTGTAAGTCTTTCTTCTGGTCATTGTAAACACACTTGAACCATTTCACACTGGTCAGGCCCAGGGTCAGTGTAAGTCTTTCTTCTGGTCATTGTAAACACACTTGAACCATTTCACACTGGTCAGGCCCAGGGTCAGTGTAAGTCTTTCTTCTGGTCATTGTAAACACACTTGAACCATTTCACACTGGTCAGGCCCAGGGTCAGTGTAAGTCTTTCTTCTGGTCATTGTAAACACACTTGAACCATTTCACACTGGTCAGGCCCAGGGTCAGTGTAAGTCTTTGTTCTGGTCATTGTAAACACACTTGAACCATTTCACACTGGTCAGGCCCAGGGTCAGTGTAAGTCTTTCTTCTGGTCATTGTAAACACACTTGAACCATTTCACACTGGTCAGGCCCAGGGTCAGTGTAAGTCTTTGTTTTGGTCATTGTAAACACACTTGAACCCTTTCACACTGGTCAGGCCCAGGGTCAGTGTAAGTCTTTGTTCTGGTCATTGTAAACACACTTGAACCATTTCACACTGGTCAGGCCCAGGGTCAGTGTAAGTCTTTGTTCTGGTCATTGTAAACACACTTGAACCATTTCACACTGGTCAGGCACAGGGTCAGTGTAAGGCTTTGTTCTGGTCATTGTAAACACACTTGAACCATTTCACACTGGTCAGGCCCAGGGTCAGTGTAAGTCTTTCTTCTGGTCATTGTAAACACACTTGAACCATTTCACACTGGTCAGGCCCAGGGTCAGTGTAAGTCTTTGTTCTGGTCATTGTAAACACACTTGAACCATTTCATACTAAGACATCACTATGATCTATCTCACATCCCTTAAATACAAGGCATAACTTTTGAAAAACGTAATGTTTTAAATAAATCACTTTAAAAAATTAGTCCACAATTTATCCAGTTAAAATAAAATTCCAAAATGAGCCAGTTGCATGACAACTTGCTTTTTACTTTAGTTGATTATAGCTGTCTATTTGTAAAGGCTTCTTGCTGCTACTAGTTGTGGAAGGGTTAAGGGTCTCCTTTAAAGTTTACTTGAAGGGATTGGTTGCTTACAGATTCAAAAGAAATTTAGTAAATCATTTTGTGTAGTAAACACTTTCCACTATTGAGACTGTTAAAAACTAAATTTATGATAAATATCAACTCTAGTCAGACTTTTGGTTTCACTGATAGGAATTAATATTATTTTAAAGAAAAAATTTAATTTAAAAAAAAGACTCGTTACTGTATTTTTGTGTTGAAGTTAAAAGACCATGAATGTTTTAGTAGTTTCAGGTCAGCCCATGTCTCACATACAGCACTCAGCCTACAACAACAGTGGACAGGCCAGCAACAGCCTCCTCCAGGATTCCAGACTTTCAGCCAGCTTCCAAGGCCATGCTGCGGTAAGTCGTTTGATTTCACTTGATGCCATGTGCCTGATGTAATTAATATTTTATTATAAGCTTTGATTTCACTTGACGCCTTGTGCAAGATACAATTCAGTTTTTATTATTATTGGAGAACACATGATTGCAAACTCCACAGAGAGAAGCAGGCTTAAGTCAGAGACAATGGTCATATAATGTCAAAATTTGAGCACTATGTTTTTGGCTCATAGAAAAATCAGACAACAAAATGCATTTTGATACTTAAAAATTAAAAAAAAAAACATTTTAGCAGATTTTATGCTAAAGAATTTGGATTTCTGTAACATTAGCATGTCCTACTTAAGTTTATAACAATGATGCTGTGAATCCTATTTTTGTATATTATCTGTCCTCCAGGGTACACCCAAACCAGAGAAACAAAATATTCCTACACAGTTTATGTAAGTACTTAATTAGTGCACTATGCCCTTCAAATTTAAGTATTAAATGGTATTTCTATATAGTTGCTGGTGATGCATTACAGGCTTTTTTGGAAGTCTTTTTAAAACAGTAATGGGCTATTTCCAATTTTACATTATGAAACAATAAATAATTGTTTGTATCTTCCTTTTACCTACTGTATCTTAATAGATATTTTTTAAAATTATGTACAAATAGTAAATATTTTTTAACAAAAGTAATAGCCAATATATGTTTACCATAAAACAAAAATATATTATCTGTTTTCCCTATATAAAAATAGCAAAATACAAATACATGTCTAATATGTACACTTAGATATCCAATACATGTTCCATGTTTTCCTCAGCCCACAACAACAGCAGCAGGTCCACAAGCAAGGCCCTGGCACCCAGCAGGCCATGATCCGCGCTGTCATGGACCCCCCCTTCCTCCAGGCTAGCGGGGAGTACACCCTGTTCAGCAACAACAACTCCCCTGCCTGGCCCACCTCGCTGGTCAAGAACACCAACCAGATGCTCAAGGCTGCGTCCAGTAAAGGTTGGTATCAAACCTGGGTCTTATTGATACTAAATTAGCGCTACAACTGTCATGGTTATTCTTGCTGTTTAAAGTTTGTTGTTGAGTGTTAAAGACATAAAGGGTTTGTCTTCATATATCTAGTCATTTTATACATTGTATCAAATTTGGAAAAAATTCAGGAATTCATTATTTAGATGTAGTGATTAAAAGTAGTTACTTTTGTTACAAAAGAAAAGTGGTCCCTTGTGTAGCTATACAAGGTAAATAATTTCTTAAATAAAATTAAAGATATTTTTTGAACTTGACGGTCCATGGGGCAAGTGAAGTAGAGATCACCTGTTTTTGTGACCTCAGCATTTTAAGGGAAAGTGTGGTCAGCACTGCTCAGCCACTTTTACTTTCTATTAAGTGAGATGTTCTGCTGACTTGAACCTGGATTTGAGCTCAAGACTTTCAGATTAGCAGTCTTGCGCTCTACTGCTAGGCCATGCAGTCCCTAATTTCTTAAATACTTACGATAAAGAAAAAACTATTTACAAATACCATGAAAGAACAACCACTTCTTAAACTGCAATGATAAAAATTTTGCTTCAAATCACAGGAATACAATTATTATTAAATGACCTTGTCTCCCTAGGTCATGGTCCCAATGCACAGATGGCATCAGCACAGATGATGGCAGGTCAAGGTCACCAAGATCCAGGCACCAATATGCAGGTAGGTCCTCACCCAACTATTTTTATATTTTCCCCTTGATAATACCTTGGGATATTTCATGTCATATTATCATGGTTAAGTTCACAACACCTTCGATGGCTATTTGGTGTCAGTTAGAACCACTGAGTAAACTATGAATTTCTGCTATTGTAACAACTAAAACAAATTTCTTTACATTATATGTTTTTATTGGTTTATGATTTTAACGTAATAAGTGTGAACAATGCATCTCAGTCAACTTAAACCCCTAAAAATAGACTTATCTGGTTGTGACTTGACCTTAATGATCAAGTTTGTTTTGAAAAAAAAAAGTTATTGGTCTTTTGATTTGCATCTTTTTATTATTTAAAGAAAATAAATGAAAAGTCAAAAGAAAAAATGTATGAAACTTTTCAGGGCTTGTGGTCCAGTACCGGCCCCTCCCCCCTGGAGCGACTCCTGGAGCAGCAGAGAAACCAGAGACAGGCAGACGGCTGAGACACGACTCCCTGGCATTTGTTCACAGATCATGGACCTGTTTGGTCAAACCCAAGTGTGGCTTGTTTTTCCATACACAAAACGTGTCAAGGGTTACTTCCCTTACGTCCTCATCAGCTATTGAGGGCTGTTTCCCTTTAGATTCAGGAAGAGATTGCCTGTACTCGTGGTGACGAGGATTTTTTACCAGTATTGTAGAGTTTTTTCTGTGCTAGCTTGCCCCGGTTGTCATTAATTTATTTATAATGCCCCCACCGCGGTGAGAGGCAGCGGATTCGGTCGAGTGCTTGACGAGATTTATCTCTAATCAGGGCAGGGGGTGCACAGCAGGTTGACCATCGGGCACTTTGACGCAGTACGACTATATCTTTACCTAGTACGTAGACAAGACCTTACCTGTAGCTTGTGTTGTAGAGATGTGTAACCAGAATGATCTAGACACCTAAGCTATGCTTCTGTGACCACAGAGTCATTTTATTTTTTCTTACAAAAAAAAAAAGGTGTTTAATGAACTCAAGACGTTTTTTTTTTAAAAATTTATTGTAATAATGTCCAGTGAAAAAATTAATTTTTTTCGCTTTGTTTTTTTTTTGTTTTGTTTCTGATTGATGGGTTGTTTTTGTTTTATATACATACTATACCAGGAGTTGCTTTCTTTTATCTACTTCAAAGCAGCTCTCTCCCCCCCCCCCCCCCCCCCATTCCTATGTTAATGGTTTACAGAAGTTTGCTTTAGTTTATTGCAATCTTTATCAGCCTGTTAAGTTGAAGACTTGAAATTGGTTTCTAAAAATAGTCCAAGTTTAGTGGGATGTTTACATTTTGCAAGCTGTTTATTTATTTAAAAATTAATTCTATTTTTTTAGGGACAGGTGAATTTTAAATATTATTTTGGAATATGTGTGCTAATATTTTAAAATAAGTTTGGGAATCAAATCTTGAATGAATAATATAAATCAAATGTTGTCATTCTAAGCTGAGGTTATAAACTAGTTGTGAGAAATAAAATGTTTTAGCCTGTTAACGTCAGTTTTGTTTCCTCAAGCCATCTGTCTTATATTTGTAAAAGTTTTTTTTTATAGTAGATGTGAACACTATGCAAATTGTAACCAGGTAGGATTCTTCTGATTTGGTTTTAAGCTGGACATGAGAATTGTAAAGTTGTGTTTTGATGTAGTAGCAGCAGTTTCGAAACATCAGGACTGTAAAACTTGGAATGTTTTTTTTTATAGGAAATAATGTAAAATGGCTTCTTGTTAAAAAGCTACACATCTTTTTTTTTAATGTTCACATTGTCATTCAAATGGTGTATGTGGTGCTGGGGGGGGGGGGGTGTGATTAATTTTGGGGTAATACATGCTTCCCAGATAGACTAAACTGTGACAATTTACTGTAGTGACGACCAATAACATGAAAGGGTGAAAAAATATTTTAGCGTCCTGAATTTTAAAAAAAATTTGGTGATGAATTGCATTAACCACATGTCAGTATGTTATCGCCATGGCAACCGTTGTTTACTCATGGAGGGTAGGCTGTGTTTATGTGTACATAGTGGATGTGATGGAGTGGTTACCTTTCTCTAGATTGGGTTCTGGTAGTGTCAAAACTTTGGTAGCTATGTGACTGCTCATGATATGGTTTCAAAATTTTTTAAAATTTGGTCATTTATTAGAACATTACATCTGATGCTCTCAGCCATTGTTATGTGAATATTTTTTCCAAGTTTCTGTAGGCTGGCCATTATAATTCAAGTAACTAAAATTTAAAGTTTGGTGATTAAAATTCTGCCAACTAAACGTCAGTACTAAACTAAAAAGTCTTACATTTAAAATTCTGTTAAATAAGATTTAAAGTTTGGTGAAGAAAATATTTTGCTAACTTTTACTAAAATTACGACAATTAAAAGTCTGGTAACTGAAATTTTGAATTTGGTTATTAAAATAACAAATTTTGAAATTTAAATTCTTATAACTAAGTCTGTAAACTAAAATTAAAAGCCTTGTAATTAAAATTAAATGTTTGGTAATTAGCAGCTTGGTAATTAAAATAAAAAGTCTGGTGGTTAAAATTCTAATCATTCAAAGTCTTGTAATTAAAATTAAATGTTTGGTAATTATGTAATAAACAGTGTGGTAACTATATTAAAAAAGACTGGTTGATAAATTCTAATAATTTAAAGTCTTCTAACCAAAAACAGTGTTATTAAAATTAAAAGTTTGGCGATTAAGGGTCTAGTATTGTAAGGGTTACACCATATCACAGTCAACATTGAAGGACTGGTGCTTTGAGAGTTAGGGTTCTTGCCTTGGGCAAGTTGACAGTATTTAAATTATTTATTCAAGTAGATCTCTGCAGTGAGCAGAGTGTATTGACCTAAGGTCATCATGACCTTTTGACTAGAGGTTACCGTGACCCAGGTTTTTTTTTTACCTGACATTAGAGCCAGATGTTTTGTTAGGTGTGAGGAGATTACTTTGTGTTGGGACCAGGTTGTGTTATGTGTATTTACAGCAAGGTGCGTGTGTTTGTGTGTGCTGATGTTGGTTCAGGCTAATTAAAGAAAATATTTTTTCTCCCCTGATAGACCTGCAATAAATTATAGCTATGCATTCTCAGCAGTTATTTTATTTTTTTATTTCTGTGTTGATGTGTGATAGAATGACAGCTGGTATGGTTGTTTTTATGTGTTTCTGTATGGTCTGTTTGGAGTAATGGTGCTTCTGTATGTGTTATATAAATTGTGTTTCTATATGTTACATGTATTGTTTCTGTATATTGTGTTATATTAACTTATATGTATTGTATTTCTTTATGGTTGTTTATTGTATTGTGCTTCTGTATAGTGTTGTGTTTAGTGTAATGTTCTTTTGTATGTTGTTATGTATGCTGTTATGTGCTTGTCTGGTGTTGAATTTGATGTATTATGCTTCTGTCTGTTGTGTTTAATGTATGTTTCTATATGGTGTTAGATATACATTTATTTTTGGTGTATGTTGCTTGTGTATGTGGTTGTTTCAAAGACAAGTAAACAAAATATGTCAGATCTTCCTTTTAACTTAAAATATTACTACATGTTGCTATAAAAAAAATCCAACCAATAGATTAGAATATGGCACTTTGTAATTAAATCAAAACATGTCACAATTAGGGCATACAGAAAAATTTTTAATTACAAACAGTACTTTTTTGTACAAACATTTTCTTTGAAGTATATAATCATCTACACACAGACAAACACACGCACAGTGATAATCTCATACTTGAGACAAACGGATATCATTGACACAAACACGCACACAGACCAATGATATCAGTATTGACACAAACACAGAAACAGATGATCACAATCACTTTGGGTCTAAAAACACCCCCACACTATAATGACACAAGAGATACCTTACAAGAGACAGGCATTGACTTCGCCACTGTATAAAACATGTTTGTTCAAGTCTGTCTGATGTACAGTAATGAGCCCCAGCATACAAAACTAGTTCACTCACAACATTAAGTCTGTCTGATGTACAGCAATGACCCCAGTATAAATAACTGTACTTCACTCACAACATAACATTGTTGTCCATTTCCTCAACACCAAATCCATATTCATTTCCAACAGAAAGAATTGTTATTTACTGAAAATATACTGCATGGTTCACATAATAATTTGTTAACCAATGTCTACTTGCAGTACACGAAACTGTTGTCCAGCTCCTATATACTACATAGTTAACCAATGTCCTCTTCTAACCAGTGTTTCTTCCAGGTATCTCTTCGGGGTGACGGAGCCAAAAAAACGTACCCCCCCCCCCTGAACGAAATAGTATATTGAAAATATATACGAAAATTTGAAGTGCATCCCCCACCCCTTGGGAGAAAAAGTCTACCCCCCCCCCTGAACGAAATACAATTTATATGGACAAAAATATTCCTTTACCAGTGTCCGCCCCCCACCACGAAAATTTTGGTCCCTCCCCACAAAAATTTCAAGCCTCTTTTCAAGTCTACATAGTTAGTAAATGTCCATTTTCAAAATACTACATAGTTAGCCAATGTCCATTTCCTACATACTACATAGTTAACTAGTATCCACTGCCAACACATCAAACTGGCAAAAAGAAGTTGAAATCCCATACTTGTAACGACCACCTAGCATAGATCTATTTTCTCCCCCCTCCACGAATTTATTATTCGATCACAAAAAAAAAAAATCAGTCGATTCCACTGAATGTGACACATAGGAGCGTAGGGGATCTTATCATAGGGTGATTAAAAAAAAAACTCCACCGTGTGGGGTCCATCTTTTCTTCCCTTCTCCTTGATCAACGCCCCTGAAAGCGCTACATCTTTTCTCCCCCTTTACTTGATCAACGCCCCTGGAGGCGCTACAGTTGTGCCGGGCGCGGGGAGTGCAGCAGTTCGTAAAGGTTTTGTTTGACCTCGCTCTCCCGCCTCAAGTCGATAGGCGCGGCCTGCTGACTCTGCTCGAACAGGGAGGTACGGCGGGCGGCGCCCCCCTGGGTCGACCCGGCTGTCGTCTGCTGTAGGAAGGAACTTTTGGTGGGCTCAGGGTCTGGACTGGTCTTGGACAACCTCCGCTGTAGCTAGCAGTTCAAGAAAAAGTCAAACCTCAAAGTTAAGTCTCTTGAACATTTATAAATTGCTGCGTTTTTTTTACTTTCTCGTATATACGAAATATAAAGAAAGTCTTGTAATCGTGCAAAAAAAAATCGAGATTTTTGCAAATCTCGACGTTTTACATCTCACTGATACGGAAAAACATAATTTTGCAATCTTGTCTGTATGTCTGTGTGTCTGTCTGTGTGTGTGTGTGTTGTGTGTCCGTGTGTAAACACGATAACTTGGGTACCGTTACAGCTAGTTTGATGAAATTTCATATATAAGTATTTTATCAAAATCGTAGATCCGTTTCAACTTTTGAGCGATTTCCGATAACCGGAAGTGGTACTTTTTCTACTTTGAATTTTTCAAAAGCCTATAACTTGAGTACTATTTCAGATAGATAAATGTAATTTGATATGTAAGTAAAAGATCTAATTCTCTACCTTCTGTCAAATTTTGAGTAATTTCCGTTGACCGGAAGTACTTATTTACGCTATTTCCGATTTCTCAAAAAACGCATGTAAATTTATAAAGTACTAATAATATTGCGCACTATTATACACATCTTTATTTAGCGTTCACTTGGTGTGCATTTCTTTTTTCTACGAGATTATATTCTATTTTTAAAAATTTGAGTATTTAAAATGGATTAAAAATCATGTCTAGAAGTCTATATCCCGAGTTGCCATTCCCCGTAGTGTTATATTAGAATATTCGAGAAAGTTTAGGGGAGATCACTCCCGGTTTATTTTAATAATGTGTGTGTGTGTGTGTGGGGGGGGGGGGGGCTATGGTTCGAGGGGTTTCGAATATAAGACACGCATGCAAGCATCCACCCATACACAGACATACACGCACACACACACGTAATCTTACGAGTTTGGAGGTCTCCATGACGATTTATCAAGATTTTTTAACCACACCCACCCTCCAGAGTTTCTTCCAGGCTCAGCCCCCCCCCCCAAACGACATGGATTTTATATAGTAAACACACACTTTTACTACTGTCCGCCCCCCCCCCCCCCCCCCCCGAAAAAAGTTGAACGCCCCACCGAAAATCTCAAGTGCCCCCCCCCCCCCCCCCGGAGAAAAATGTCTGGAAGAAAAAAAAACTGCCCACCTCTACATGGTCGCCACTCCGACTGGGAAAAACACCACCTCTATTAACATGGACCCCCGCGATAAAAACCCACCTCTATCAAAATGGACCCCGCGATAAAAACCCACCTCTATCAAAATGGACCCCGCGATAAAAAACCCACCTCTATCAAAATGGACCCCGCGATAAAAACCCACCTCTATGGAAGTCCTTGGCCGGCTGTTAGCCATGGGTGGTGGGAAATAGACTTGGCCTCCCTCAGCTCTTTGTGGCTGTGTTCGATCTGACTCAGTCGGTCGTTCCCGGAGCTGGGGAGAGCTTCCTGATGGCCACGTCAACATATATATTATATATATATATATATATATATATATATATATAATATATATATATATATATATATATTCTGGTTATATATATATATATCTGGATATATATAATGTCTGTATATATATAATGGCTATATATATATATATATATATATATTATATATAAATAAATAAATAAATATATATATATATATATATATATATATATATATATATATTATATATATATATATATATATATATATATATATATATTCTGTCGGTTATATATATATATCTGGATAT